TGTTCCAGTTCTTTAGTTTTAATACTAGTTAATTTAAAGTTTAACTTAGTTTAAAGTCTAGTTTTTATTTATTAGTTTTATATAGTCTATAAGCTATAGTAATAAAGATTTTTTAGTTTTAGTAATAGTTTAGTTATATATAAAGGTTTTTAATTTTAAAATTTATATTTTTTTAAACTTATATTTTCTAAAACCAGCTGTTATTACTATTAGTTTATATAAAAAAAAACTTATTAGTTATAATAAAAATATATATTCTATATATTTAATTATAATAAACTTTAGAAAATAAATATAAAAAAAGTAATACTTAAAATTATATAACAGCTGATTAGATTAATATAATTTTATTAATTTAATACTATTTTAATAAAATCTTAAATATAAAAAAATAGCTATATATTTTTATAGTATTATTTTATCTGTATATATATATTAAATAAAATAAATAGAGTAAATAAGTTAAACCAGTTCTGTTTTAGTAGTCTGTATTAGGTCTGTCCTGTTTGCCCTTGCAAATACTTATTTTAAAAATTATATAAAAAAAAGAAAGATTTCTACTGCTAATTTAATACTAGTTTAATATTATTTTATTAAATTTTTTTATAATTTAGTAGTTTAATACTTTAGGTGCTAATAATTTTATAAACAGCTAATAATATTCTTAACCATAGTAAGATTTTCTAAAAAAAGTCTAAAAATATTAAAAATAAAAACTTTTCAAAAGTAAAAAAGCTTTTTAATTTTAAGTTGCTACTTTAATATAATTATTATAGTAATATACTATATTTTATAGATATCTAAAAAAAATTAGAATCATTAAAAAAAGAATTAGTTAAAAATAGAAAATGTAGCAGTATTTTTATTTTAAAACTAATTCTTATTATTCTATAGTCTAGTAAGGTAATAGAAAATTAAATATATAAAGGGTTTAGAGTTATTAATATTATAATAGCTATATATAGAATATGTGGTGGATTTGTGGGTAGCCTGTTAGGGTGTTAACTGTTTTGTATAATAATATTAAAATCTTTAAATACTTTATTTATTATAATAATTATATTTTTAAATTATATAGTTTTAATATTTTAAACTTTAATTCAAAGAACTATCTATTATATAGTCTGTCTATACAGTTGACTATAAATATAAAAACTTAGTCTAGTCTGGTAGTGTAGCAATTTCTATTAATTATAAATTCTATATATATACTTAATTTAAAGAATTTATAGTTATACTTATTTTTTTATTAAATAATTTTATATGAAAATATTAGGAATAGAGCTGGTAGTTGAGTTTATACAGTTACTACAGCAGTTCTTTTCTAGATTTACTATTAATAATAAAAATAATATTATAATTTTATAATTAATTAATCTACTTTTTAAAAGCTGATTTCTATTTTGCTATTTTAAAGTTATATATTATTATATAGATATAAATACTACAGTGGGCTGCAGTTCTGTAGATCAATTTAATCTCTTATTTTAATATTTTCTTTTTATTTTATTCTATTCTATTTATACACCTAGTTGGGCTCTGTCTAGAACTTTTTAATAAACTATTTCTAATACTACAGAATAGATAAATTATACTAATTAAAATATATATTAGAATAAGAAAAATAGCTAAAGAGCTATTTTATCTGTTTATACAGAATTCTTTTGTATATACTAAACTAGCGCTAGTTTAGTAAGTAGTATATAAAGCCTCAGATGTCAGCCGGTGCCTGAAGCCGAGCTCTATATCAGGGCCTCAGTCCCATAAAAGTGATATACTCTGACAAAGCCAGTTGGAACTATTAATAGCTTTTCATAGACCCATTACATTCCTGACATGGCTCATAGTCTGTTCCGCATTAGTCCTGGCTGTATGCCTACCCTGTTCAGACACAGCATCTAAATACCCTCCCTTGTCTGCAATTAGTTGTAAGTATTTTTCCCTGATAGGCGCAAGCTTGCTCGATATCTGATTGGCTAGTGTTTCCTTCAGAGCCTTGAGACTAGAAAATTGGTGCTCCGCCACCAACTCCTCGCATGTTCTTCCGTCAAAATGACTAAGAAGCTCTAAGAGATTCGACACACCGGGCCTGTTAGTGGGGTCATACGTTACGCCTGATTCAGAATCCGTGAGCGCAACCTTGATCTTCTTACGTATATCCTCAGGCGAGTCGGTGAGAAGAATTCTGGACCGTGGGTCACTATGAGACTTGGACATCTTAAGAGCAGGCTCTTTGAGAGACATCACTCGCCTAGCGGGTGCTACAGGGCATTCCATAGTCAGTAATGTTTCTCTGCCGTGGTAAAACCTTCATTCGGAAGACCAAAGGCGCCTCACATATAAGAGCCTCCGGAACCGGGAAAACCTGCCCATATCGATGGTTAAAACTATTTGCAATATTCCGAGAAAATTCGAGGTGTTGTCTTTGGTCCTCCCCAACTGGAACATGGGTTGCTCTAATCGGTGTTAGCCAAGACCCGTGGGGTGTTGAATAGCACCAGACCTGTGAACGAGTATGTCCGCTGCTTGAAGAACAGGGTATGAGAAAAGGCCAAGCCGCAGCTCCGATCTTGCAGCTTGGCTTTCGAGAGTCGCTTCGTCGGGTAATTGAAGCTTGCTCTTATAAATGTTAATGCTCATGGCTCAAATGATATTTCTTTGTTGCAATGCCTGCAACCCGCAGTCTCCGTCTTCCGTTATGATCACTCACCTTCCATTGAGTCATCCGTGATAGATATCCCATAGATGCTATTGTACATAAGATCCAGAACAGCTCAGCATGTGATTGAACCTGACGGTGGGTTAGTGGACAAGAAGGACAATCGGCTAATAAGAGCAGCACAGCGTACGGCAGATTGATAGAAGAGCGTGGAGCGACTCGGATCTAAGCCCACGGCAATCAATGCGGCGAGCATTTGTTTCCTCCAATCCCTCAACTGGCAGCGTTCCTGGGGCACTGTGAGCGCATGTAAATCCACGATAGAGAATACCAATCTCGTCCCTTCAGTCGCAGTGTCTTGCAATCGAACCCATTCCTTCAAAGCGCCTAAGTAGTTACCCAAGTGAGGCACACCTGTAGGCTGGATACCAGAGAAGATCGTGCGAGGTGCATCGGAAGCGTGGCTCGTTGTACAGATGCCAAAGGATCTGTTAGAAGGGCGACAGCTTTTCAGCTTTTCGTATTTGATTGAGGTCCTGATGGGCCGTCCAGAGCAAGGCCGGTGCCGGTTGGCAGCCAATCTGAGATTCTTATTGAGGCAAAAACTTATATTATACATGTTGTCTCAACACCACCTTGTGAAGGCGAGTTGCATATAGAAATGGTATTACATACCATGTGGCTTGAGAGCCGCGGAATATACCCGTCCGATATCACGTGACTAGTGATAACTGGTGTCATGTAAGATCTCATTTTATGGCACCACCCCTTGATACCCCGTGTATTGCTTCTACTTTTTCAAAATCTACCGAAGAAAACAAGGACACGAGGCTAATGAGATGATTGAAAGCTGGGGATCCATGGCAACGGTGTCATGCCGCTGGTGTATTCTCATTTACATTTGCGAGATCGGTTAAGGACCATGGCGAGACAGAATGGGTTGTGATGGTGTGGACTGCAAGTTACTCCCAAGATCGCCAAGCAGAAACAATAGAGATTCCAAGGTCTAGTGATACAGATCAAACAAAGCAGCAGCTTATATGGAAGTATGCTTGACTAGTCAGCGCCCGCCGACCTCTGCTAGGGGGCTCTTCATTGTGACTAGGTGGTCTTTGTTCAAGAGGTCAACAAGAGAATCGTCCGATTTTGTATCTTGTCTTTGACCGAATTGTGAAAGGAGTCCTTCAAGTGACTTTTCAGTTTCTGGACCCGCTCTGTCCAGGTTCTCGACGACATCTTAGGTACGAACAAACGGTCAGCTCTTACTAACGGTGACATGCAGTAGAAGGCTAAAACATACCGAGACTGTCGTATTCCCACATGTTTGCTTTCATACCCACTCCATGAAATGCGTACTTCCTCAAAAAAGCCAGCCATGCCTGGACAGTCTGTGGATTGCCATCCTTGACCTGAATCAGTCGACGCAGGGTTATACGCTCAAAGTTTTCCTGGCTCTTCTTGTGAACGAAATTGCTCCGAGGCACAGTCCATCTTTCGACAATACGCGGTAAAGGTACAGGTCCAGAAACCGGAAGACCCAAGTAATATGCTGCTCGTATAGCGAAATCCGAGAAAAACTCGACATTTCGAACGCTGTATGATCTCAGCTGCAGATCACACACTGGAAGACCATATTCGGCCTTTCTACGAAGCGGCCGTAGATATACTGCTTGCACGCTTCGGGGAAGCCGTGCCTTGCCACTTAAACCCTCCAGACGCTGCACCCTGTAGTGATAGTTAGTCCGTCATTTGATCGACGATTTGCGTTCAAGTGAAAGTCAAACCAATCTTTGGCTTGCATCTGAGGCGACGTAGATGACTCTGTCGAGTGACCAGAACTAGACTGAAGTAAGCCCAAGAGTTCGGAAGCGGGGGAGTGAGTTATAGCCGCTGACATTCGTTCGTCCTTAACCAGACTGGAGGTGGGAGGTACATCAGCGCTGGGTGGATCATTCCTTTCCGGCTCAGTCAAGGAGCTAGATCGGCGAGTTAACATAAGAGGCTAATTATACTGGTGTCAATAAGTGCTATTATTTGACAGTGTGACATTGGAGCGTCACCTGAAGTCGCTGGCCTACCCGTGAGAGCAGCCGCGGGTAGAATGATAGAGACATGAGTACAGCGGTAAACAGTAACACTGGTATAATAAAATTGTAAAATGATGCAGTTCAAAAGAGCGATGCATCGGTAATATGCTGGGTTTTCCAGGTCCGGGGCTTTCAAAGGCGGTCGCACGTCTTTCTGTCTGTCATTGGCTGTTGGTTGACCGCTTTCTATGAGCCGTCACATCCATGATTAGGTAATTAGATGATCCATCCTGGACTGTCGACGGGACATGATACAGCATCCAAAGATGATCTTACTTGCGCGAGATACGCTTCTTTGGGATTAGTATCCATATTTCTGCGAATGAACCTTTGCTCATTCGGGCTGCGTCAACGCCACTAATCGAACTTCAGGTATCCGAGCAACTCCTGTTGCTCAAATCATGTGAGGGGTTCCTCATTGGCAACTCTGGTGTACCCGGCTTCTCTTGTAAACCGCAGCTTTTCATTGCTGATAACAACGGCACCTGCTCATGTGCTCGAATGAAGTAGCCAGGCCGAAAATCGCTCAAATGACCGAGAGAGCACTCCACCAAAGGAAGCCCAAGGCGCTCCGGCAGCCGGCTAGAGAATTTGCGCCATCCTTCGAGGCAGGGAGTCCATTAAAAATTCACGATGCCAGGAATCAGAGCATCGCGCAAGCGAACAATCTTCTGGAAACTACACCAAACAGCAAAAGGTCGTGGGCACACAAGCCTGTGCAGCGGAAGAGACAAAAGCTTACGGCCCCAGAGCAGTTGACCTCAATTCAGAGTGATGGGGACGTGTGTGGTAGTAATGACTCCCGACAGGTTGGTATGGCATGTTCGAATGAGCGTCGCGCTCAGTCTCGCTCTGCCTTCTCTGATGCCACTGCTGCTGCGGTTGGGAACGAAAAGAATGATAGTCACCATCGGTCTTCCAGCATATCGTCCCTCGTGGCAGGTAGTTCAATTCCTCCGTCTCTGGCGTCGGGTGCTCAGATTAAGTCTGATTGCCAAGCACCGGTACACTCGCTAAGCAGATCGCCAACTTTAAGTCATATTTCACAAACTAGGGACAGATCTGAAGGAAATATGCCGACAGTTTTATATCAGCAACGAGTGAGGCCAACGCGAAGAAGGCTTGTTGATTCCTTAAGTGCGGCAGAGTCAGTCCTGAATGAGGTATCCGCCTCCGCCTCCGAAACCCGTGGCGCCAATACATCTTCCGTCCCAGGACTCTTTCAATCAGAGGCTAGACCTTTGCAATCGGACCAATTTCGGGATCAACAAGGTCCTGTCCAGTCCCCAAGCAATGACAGGGAGACAGGAACATCAGCATCAAGCACTCTTTTACGTTCCAGGATAACGTACGCTCGCCAACGCTCGTTCTTAGGAAGTACCTTGAACACTTTTGACTCTGAATTACATGGCGCCTCGGCTGCAGCTTTAGACGATGTGGAAGCTGGGGGTTCATCTGCCCCCCTCAATCATCGCAGTACACGTTTGTTGTCTGCCGACGGCGAGGAACACGGCCGGCCTGTCCGTAGCATTCATGAGCTGAGGCAGGCTGGGGACAATGCTCGCTTCCAAGAGTCGGTTGAAGCACTATTCGATGATTTTGAAGAGCCGGGTAACACGGTTTCCGAGAGATGCAATGGGCTCATTCAGCTGTGTTCGAAGCTACTCAAACCCGACTTCATACATCGATTCTCGGAATATGGCTTTGATGAACGACTAGTTAAAAGTCTTGCGAGCGATCTAGACATTATCTCATTATGTCTAGCACTGTGTGCCTATAGATTGGTCTGTCTCAAAGGGGTATATTTGCACTCAAATTTGGGAACATTTTGGACAACTCTGGTCGACAAATCTTCGTTACTGCTAGCAGTGGAAGACGATATAATTTCCTTGGCAGGCGATCCGCGATTGCATGTTTCAAGAGCCGTGCAAGCGTCACTCAGGGATCTCATTCCACGATTGACAGCTTCGATGTTCTCCGAAAGCCCGACACTGAGACTTTCTCCACGTCTAGCCATTCTTTCCTGCATTAGCGTTTGCTTGTCAGCATTTCAAGACAAGTCTCAACCTATACAGTCAATGCCTCGGTCTTTGCTAGATAACCTTATTGCGCTTCTGCGTCCAAACAGTGGTAAAGTCACAGCATACCCTCTATCCTACGACGACTTTCAGACAAAGTCAATAACTCTTCTTGTTCTGGAGAGTTACATAATGCTTTCAGCAACCTCAGGCTGCGAGTACGATGGTCCTTTCCGCAAATTAATCCTAATGCATGATGACTTCGTTCGCCCTGCCCAGGGTGACCAAGGCCGACGAATCTTGACGTTATATTTGAGGGTCGTACTAAACCTCACCAACAATGATCCTCTGGCGTGCGAGCTATGTGCTGCACCTGAAACAATCACCGGATTTGTTCGAATCATTACAACTGAGCTTTCTGATGTGTCTGCTATCGTCGGCTTCAGTGAGCACGAGTCATTCAACCTCGTCATCTTGGCTCTAGGTATTCTTATAAACCTGGCAGAACAGAGCGAGAGGTGCAGAGCCTCCTTTCTTGTGCCAATACATGACTCGCATCCAGCCCTTGGGACACTTGTACATCAGTTTTCTCTCAGCATCGACCTCATCAACCATGTAAGTGTTGAAGGTACGCTAGCTAGCAGAAATCACCGCTTATCTAATTCCCAGGCAAATTCACTTTCCGAGTCACATATGAATGTTGCTGTCGGGTACTTGTCAATACTGTTAGCTCTTCTCTGTCTTCTTAAGGAGGCATACTTTCGAGTTCAGGAACTGCTGATGGAATGTGGTAAGGAGATCGCCTCGGTCATTTCAACAGCGAAAGAATTTTTGCTATATCATCAGAAAGTCGAAAGAGACTCACGACTCGGCGAATTTCAAAACCGTGACAACACATCCACGACACGTTTGGCACATATCATAGAGCAGATAAGCCAACCGTAGAACAAACCCGTTACCATAGTGACAACACCTTCATTCACCATAGCTAGATACTGTTTTAGCACCACGGTATCGAATGGTGTACGGATTTCTAATGATAGAGTAATTGCTCGGTACCATCTTCAACTAATGTGTAGTTCTCTCACGCCGCAGGAAGTCTCTAAACATCAATATGGCATTATGTGCTCCGGCCAAGAATAAAATCTGGTACTGTAACAGTCTGATAATAATTGATAAGCAATGATCGGCGATAAGTTTAACCCAGTGCGCTAACTGCTCTTCCCGTCCTGACATAATAAGTATGTGCAGCCGTTTGATTTGTTTGCCACTCTCGGCTGGGTTCTAATGCCCCGAATTCCATCTTATGATGAGGGCTACTGGGATCACAGGGACTTGTAGTTTCTTTCCTCATACTAATCCTTTTTGACCATTTTGGGGAATCTGCCACAGCGCTACGCTCCAGAAAGAAGTCTGTACCACCCGATAGTCTTTCTGCGTCAGTATACGTCTTGCCCATAAGCGTTGATTTGTACTGCTATTTAAGAGGAAGATGCCTAGTGCTCCGAAGCAGCGGAAGATAGCTATCGTTGGCAGTCGGTCTGTGGGTAAGAGCTCGCTATTATCTTCAATCTCTACTATCATCGCCTCCAACACTGACCCATGATTAACTTGTGACTTTCCAGGTAAATCTTCTCTTACAGTTCGGTTCGTTGAACATCATTTCGTAGAAAGCTACTATCCGACGATTGAAAACACGTTCAGCCGCATTATCAAATACAACGGTCAGGACTTCGCAACTGAAATTGTTGACACAGCTGGTCAAGTAAGAAAGACCTATGTAATCTGACTTCGGGGTGTGGCTAATCTTGCAATAGGATGAATATAGCATCTTGAATTCAAAGCACTTCATTGGCATCCATGGATACATAATTGTGTACTCAGTGTCATCCCGTCAATCGTTTGATATGGTTAGAGTCATTCGAGATAAGATACTAAATCATCTGGTACTACCCTGCATCCCATTCACTACAGATCCATTATACTGATGCAATAATACAGGGTGCTGACCACGTGCCCCTTGTTATTGTCGGAAATAAGAGCGACCTTAAGTCAGAACAGCGTCAGGTATCTCTGGATGAAGGGCGGCAACTGGGCGAAGAGTTTCACTGTGCATTCACTGAGGCCAGTGCTCGTCTTGATTACAATGTTGCGAAAGCCTTTGACCTGATAATTGGCGAGATTGAAAGGTCCCAGAATCCATCTCAACCTGCAGGAGGGAACAAATGTTCCGTAATGTGATTCTTCTGAAATTCACTAGGTATTACTCAATGGGTAATGTGTCTGGGTGAGGTGGGGAGATCTGTTCAAATGAGCCTAGTCAACAGAGCCCACCTTTGTTCTATCTATGGCGTCTTCTTGGTTTCTTTTTACTATCTTATATGTTAATCATCTCAAACAGGTCTGATAATACTTCAGTGCAATACAACAGCTCTTCTTTACTGACTAGACTTTCAAAAGTATAAAGATCAATCAATGTGAATACTGCATACAATTTAATCAAGCCAAGCATAATCAGCTCGAGCCTGTGCTCTGTAGTGGAAGCTGGGATCAGGTGGCACTTGGAGGGGGAGAGGATGTTGGTGTAGATGAGTGAACTCGGCCTAATATCAATTTAATGCTATACCCGAATAGTCAGGCCACCTAGAATTTTGCCCCTCATTCTACACGGCAAGAAAGTTCAGCCTTTCTCAAATACCCCTCTTCGTCAGTCGCCGACCACCTTACCATTCACAGATCAGATATACATTCTCACAATTGAGTCTGTAAATTTTTACATATACTCAAGTATACTGAATCATTTTCAACACACCGCTCAAAAATGCTTGACCTTGCCGATTTTATCACCGATCGCGGTGGTAACCCGAACAGAATCAAGGACAGCCAGCGCAAAAGATTTGCACCCGAACATGTTGTCGATGAAGTCCTTAATTTGTATGAAGAGGCAAGAAAGGGTATGTTGACACACATTACCATTTCACCATGCAATTGAAAGTTCTAACTAAGATTGCCCTCGCCTACAGCACGCTATGAAGTCATGCAGATCAATTCCCAGCTCAACGCGCTCCAGAAAGAGATCGGAAAGATGAAGAAGGTCGGTTGGATTAGTCAAATTCCATCACTATATTCAAAAGAAATACATATCTCTAATCAATGCGAGTCATCAAACAGAACAAGGAAGACGCGGGCTCCTTGATGGAACAAAAGGCTGGTCTTGAGCAGCGTAAGAAAGATGCCGAGGAACTTGCCGTCCAGAAAGAATCGCAGAGGGACAAGAAGATCCGGACAATTGGCAACATTGTGCATGATTCAGTTCCCATTAGCAACAACGAGGTTTGTGTCATCTGTATGTCGATGTGTCGATATAATTGTGATTGACTTGCCGCCTAGGATGACAATGTTGTGGTCAAATCTTGGGTGCCAGAAAATGTGAAGGTAGAGAAGCGCGATTGTCTGTCTCATCACGAGGTGCTTACACGTCTTGACGGTTTCGACCCAGAGCGTGGTGTCAAGGTCGTCGGCCACCGTGGGTACTGCTTGACGGGATATGGTCTCTTCTTAAACCTTGCGCTCATCAACTACGGGCTCGAGTTTCTCTGGGGAAAGGGCTATAAACCAAATCAGCCTCCCCAATTCATGCTCAAGGATATGATGGCGAAGACCGCGCAGCTTGAGCAATTTGATGAGGAGCTTTACAAAGTCACAGAAAGTGAGGACAAATCCACTGATAAATATCTCATTGCCACTTCAGAGCAGCCTCTGTCAGCATTGCATGATGGGGAGTGGCTTCAAGACAAAGACCTCCCGATCAAGTAAGTACTATGCGTATTTATCCACTTATTGTACTAATGGTTTTCCAGGTATGCCGGGTATAGCACGTGTTACCGCAAGGAGGCAGGCGCGCATGGGAAAGATGCGTGGGGTATTTTCCGAGTTCATCAATTCGAGAAGGTAAGAAACCTGTGATAAGCAGCATTGACTGACCAGTACTAATAGTAGCATAGATCGAGCAATTCGTTCTCACAAAACCGGAAGACTCTTGGCAGGCTTTTGAAGAGATGATGGCTACATCGGAGGAGTTCTATCAGTCCCTTGGACTGCCATATCAGGTGGTAGCAATTGTCTCTGGAGCATTGAACAACGCTGCCGCAAAGAAATACGACCTAGAAGCCTGGTTTCCTTTCCAAGGGGAGTATAAAGAATTGGTTTCCTGCTCCAACTGCACTGATTACCAATCGAGGGCGCTCGAGATCCGTTACGGCATTAAAAAAGCCACCGATGTCAAAAAGTCCTATGTTCATGCTTTGAATGCTACTCTCTGTGCCACTGAACGAACACTTTGCTGTGTCCTCGAGAACTATCAGACTGAAGATGTACGTTGTGAGCTGCTCTATACTGTGATCGTCTCGCTAAATTTAGATAGGGTATCGTTGTCCCGGAACCCCTCAGGAAATACATTCCAGGAATGCCCGACTTCCTTCCATTCACAAAGGAGCTTCCTAAGGACAGTACCTCTCAGAAGTCCAAGGCCAAGCAGGCTTCGAAGAGCGCGAATGGCGCGGAAGATGCTGCCAAGAAGCTGCAAAACCTCCAGGTTTGAGTGCTTTCGTCCGCAACATCTCACCACCTATTCAAATCAAGAAATGATCTTTCTGCGGCCCAAATGCAAATGGTTGTGGCTAACCCTCAAGCTTCAATGTCATAGATATGAAAGCTGAGATGTCTTGGTCTTATACCGGCCGCAGAGCTTACTTTTAGAATTCGTCTTGCTTTCATTAATTATTTGTGCAATTTGCTTGACTCCACTTTTACCTAAGTATCCCTAGTAATAGCTTGGCTTGTCTCTTCACAAGCTCTATGCTCCAATCATACAGAGTTATATTCTGGCTTTTCTGTAAAGCTTCAAGTGTTCAGCATTTGTAGACAACAAAGCAATAGTATACAATACATTGAGTAGTAGTTTGGTGTATTTTACGGGGTACTGGATGGAGGATGAAGCAGGAAGGAAAGGGCCGGCCCCGCTCTTACCCCTCCAATACGTACTTCTTGTTTGCAGCGATGACTCAAACATCCAATTGCAGATGTGGAACGTTGCTCTAACACTCCGGTTCCGGAGAACTTTAAAAAAGTCGGCCTCTTTCCCATCCCATTTTTATACTTCTAATTGATAGATTTTTTTTTGGCTCACCTATAAATAAAATTGGCCGGTACCTTCAATTGACGGATAAATCAGAAGCAACAATGGCAGCATCAGCAAGGGACATTAACTTCTCCACGTCTCCTACGGCCTCATTCCAATCTGCACCGTCGAGCCATGGAGGATCAGCTCTGGGAAGCCGCACCATCCCACTTGCTAATGCGAAACACCTGAAACCATTCGCCACCGAGGACATCAAAGTACTACTCCTGGAGAATGTCAATCAGACGGGCAGGGATATTCTCACGAAACAGGGCTACCAGGTTGAATTTCTCAAATCATCGCTCCCGGAGGATCAGCTTATCGAGAAAATCCGGTCGGTTTTCCATGGTATATTTCTGTCATCTTGTGAGATTTATAGCTGACTTGATGATGAAATTTGAAGTGATGTACATGTCATTGGTATCAGGTCCAAGACGAAACTCAGCGCTCGTGTCTTGAAGGAAGCCCGGAACCTTATTGTCATCGGCTGTTTCTGCATTGGAACTAACCAGGTTGACCTTCAGTACGCGGCTGAACACGGTATTGCTGTCTTCAATTCCCCTTTCAGCAACTCCAGAAGTGTTGCGGAGTTGGTGATCGCGGAGATCATTGTTCTTGCTCGTCAACTTGGTGATCGTTCAAATGAAATGCACAATGGTACCTGGAACAAAGTGAGCAACAAATGCTGGGAAATTCGTGGGAAAACACTCGGTATGCTCTCTCGCCTCAAACAGTAGAAGTTAGCTGACTTGACTTAGGAATAATCGGTTATGGTCACATCGGCGCTCAGCTTTCAGTTCTAGCCGAAGCCATGGGAATGTCAGTCATATTCTATGATGTAGTGAACCTGATGGCACTAGGCACAGCGCAGCAAGTGCCCACCCTTGAAGCACTCCTTGCGCAAGCCGACTTTGTTACCTGTCATGTCCCCGAGCTTCCCGAAACCAAGAACATGATAGGGCACCAGCAGTTTGAACAAATGAAGGCGGGCAGCTATCTCATAAATGCTAGCCGCGGGAGTGTCATCGATATCCCAGCACTTATCCATGCCATGCGATCTGGTAAGATTGCAGGAGCCGCGCTTGACGTCTATCCTAATGAGCCGGCTGGCAATGGTGACTATTTCAATAACGACCTCAATACATGGGGAGCAGACCTTCGTAGTCTCAAAAACCTGATCTTGACCCCGCATATTGGAGGTAGCACGGAAGAAGCACAGCGTGCAATTGGTGTTGAAGTTGCGGAGGCATTGGTGAGGTATGTCAATGAAGGTACAACACTGGGCGCCGTCAACCTCCCAGAAGTCGCCCTTCGATCATTGACCATGGATGAATCAAATCATGCTCGGGTAAGGCACTCGATATCATATGATCACATACCCACGTTTAAGCTTATATCTAATGTATGGCACGCAGGTCATTTTCATTCACCAGAATGTTCCTGGTGTGTTGCGGAAAGGTGCTAGATATGCGATACGTGATTTCTTGGGTGTCTAGGTTGCTGACATTTAACAGTCAATGAGATTCTTGGGGATCACAACGTTGATAAGCAAATGACCGACAGCAGAGGTGATGTATGTTTCTACCGATCAGTTGGGTTCCAGGTTTTTCGATTGACTGATTGCAGGTGGCTTATTTGATGGCCGATATCAGCGACGTCGATAATTCTACAATCAAAGATTTGTATGAGAGACTTGAGAGCCTGGGATGTACGTACCACTTTGCTCCATGATGTGTTTTTCTCTTCCGCTCAACCATGTGACCCTTCTCGCTAACTACAACCTTCATCATTCACTCTTTGGTTTGTTTAGCTCGAATTATGACTCGCATCTTGTATTAAGAAGCTAGGCTTGAAAAGCACGAGGCTGCTTGTCGCGCCGAATTTGTCGACGTGATCTATCAAGGCTGAATCTGCATTAGTGGTCTTTCAACAGCAGTATCATTATAGTGTCGAGACGAAACAGCAATGTAAATTACTTGATGCAGTCAAGTAGCTTGCGTTCATTTGGAGCCTATGCCTCAATGGACTTTCATAGGGAGTCATTTACAGAGCTTCACTCTGAAGCTCCTTCAGCTACTCTGCAACTACTGGCGAAATGTTCAACACCGCCTCACAATTTGATGCATCAACCAAAATTTCCAGTGAGCTTATATAAACGTTAGCTTTAGTATACAATGCTTTATTTAAAGTCACACGTCATAAGCCGGCAGATAGTGAAGGTACATATGCTTTCTATGTCACTTTCGAGTTCATGGATACACAGACTCATAGTAGTTGAGACCAGATCATCTGCGATAGAAAGCTCTATCCGTGTCACGGACACCATCTCTCGCGAAGGGACTCCGGCTTCTTCTTCTGGATAGACTCTCACGTGATCGATCATGCCTGGAGTTTTGGCTTTCGAGGTAATCATGCCTATCAGTACTAAGGTTGATGTTGATATCCCTTTCGCGAGAATAATCAACTGAATTTGTGTTGACATGAGTAGAAACACGAGAATCCATATAAGCTTCGGGTCGCCCACCTAGACGGTTATAATCTCTTTCACGTCCAACTCTGCTCATGTTACCAGAGTGCCATTGATGTGCCGATGCAGGAGGTTTTGGGGGTAAGCCACCTCTACGCCAAGGACCTGAATGTGACTCTTCAACCATTCTGGTTTGTGATGTGTGCGATTCGGCAAGTCGATTGTCGAAAGAACGAGCTTGAGAATGTCCATGGCTCGCACTGGGATGCGGCCTGCTCGAACGGACGGCACTAGGGAGTCGGCTACTCTTATTTTCGGCAACAGGTGGTCTGGTACCAGATGCAGTAGTCCAGCTTCCATTTGTGGCCATTGCTATGGAACCTCCAGTTGGTGCAGGGGGCATTACGGCTCTGTTGCTCCGAAATCTTCTCCTGTCAAGTTCGTGGGAATCTTCGAACGATGGCAGCTCACCCGGCCGTGCAGGTAGTGGTGGATCAGCAAAATAAGGATGCTTTAATGCATCAATGGCATTGATTCTTTTTCTCCAATCAAGCCTCAGAAGTTCCCCCAACAAGGAGATCGCATTGGAGCTTTGGCTATGTGGACGTTAGAACCTTGTGGTTGGAAGTTCACGTTGAAAGAAAAGGAGACACCCATACTCTCTGAAAACCTCAGGCAACCTCCCGGGTCTGTTTCCAAAGCTCTTAACACCATCACATCCAGGAAGCAAAGACCATCCTGGCATCGTCTCTTCTGTAGGTGACCCGACTAAATTGAAGATAAGGTGAGCTTGGTTGAGATCACTGTTGCCAGCGAGGATCGGTTTTCCCTTGAACATTTCCCCGAAGACACAACTGGCGGTTGTTAGATAGGTTTTTGATTCATCATGGCAAGTAGGACGTGCTCTCACCCGACACCCCACATATCGATTGCTGTAGTGTAGCGCCGAAGTTGAAGAAGAAGCTCCGGAGGGCGGTACCAGCGAGTCACAACAAGAGTGGTGTAATCTCTCTTTGCTTCTCCGCCACCTTTGCCGGGCTGAGGAGGAGGTTCCTCATATGGGCGAGCCAGACCAAAATCAGCAATTTGAAGAATACCCTTATTGCTGATGAGTAGGTTGGCCGCTGTTATACTTTTAGCCACCTGTCAATTCCTGTTCGAAAATGGCGAATCTAACCTTTCATGTCGCGGTGCAAGATAGAGTTCTGGAGCAGGTTAGAATCATAACTTTGACCACTAGATAAGTGGATGGTACCGCGTGCAGATATTTGAGCCCTTCCAGAAGTTGTAACATATAGCACTTAATCTGGGCTTCAGTAAACCGGACACTCGGATTCTCTAGAAGCCCTGAGAGATCGTGTTCCATGTATGGGGTGACCATATACATGCTTGGCTTCTTTCGTCCTTCCCCTGGAGGATAATCAGTGAGAGCAGCTTTCCATTAATCGCTCTGACCTACCTTTGCTGCGTTCCACGGCCATCTCTCTGAGGTGTAAGATATTAGTGTGAGATAACATTTTGAGGAGCTTGATCTCGCGGAGAGCGGTTATGGGGAACTTGAAAAGGGTAAGTGAGCTTGATCATACTGCCTAGGACAGTCATTCCTTACCCCATCTCTCTCATTGTGCATAAGGATCTTTTTTAGCGCGACAATGGTGTTGTCTCTCTTCGACCTGGCTTTGTATACCTCCCTGTCCGGGTCTCAATATGCGACACGTATAAAACAGGCTGCTACCGGTACATACCCGAAGGTACCTTCACCTAGTTTGCCCAAGAACTCGAAGTCCCGTATATTGGTACATCCACGAAACCTGGGGCTCCCATTCCCGTCTCTCTCTAGAGGGGTTGCAACCATTCTCGAGAACAGCGATCCTGATCGACAGCAGGAGACAGGGCCCTGAAATGCGATAAGCCCAGTGCGTGTCTATTCCTTGGGAACATTCAAAGGTTTAATACTTCGAGTCAGTAGATGAGATTTCATGTGTGTGACATGCCAAAGTAAGTGCCTTATGAAGAAAGATATAACACTTTAAATGTGGTGCTGTGTGTGGTGTCGGAGCACGGTATCGGACTTTTGAGCCGGGTAGATTGGGAGAAGCACTCTGATGATTAGCAAGGAAACAGGGCGATTTGAAGGACTTCACGGTCAACATGACAGTTTACGCATAGAATTGACTGCCAGAAATGTAAATACTGAGCATTGCGTAGGATCAAGAAGTGTTTGCCATTAATGTTGCAGGCCTGACCCTTGGCGGAGTGCCTGGCACATTTCGAAGTGTCCTGAGTCACATGACATATATGCGTTCCCGTGACGCCCGCAGTGCAGGACATCATAGGCATCCTCGGAAGACTCACTCTATCGTGCACTTTCCGGCATAAACAGGGGAGATTGTCCATCACGCTTAACCCCGAACCAACCAGAAAGTATAATGTCATGGACCCCCATATACTTCACTCAACAAGCTAATGTACGCAATATAGACATGGCGTCAAGTCATCCTATCCATGTTCATCCCGCACGACCTCTGTATCGCTTTACGGCTACGGCGTTGGGAGCTAGCATGTGGTTTTTCGTAAGTGGACTCATGGTTCTCATCGTCCTCAAGAAGTCACTAATAATATCCTTCATTATTATAGTTAATGTACAGAGCCAAGAAAGATGGACCCGCCCTTTTAGGCTGGAAGCACCCTTGGGATCATTGAGGGCGCAATGGCCGACTGTATCAAACACTTCGCTGAGAGACAATACAAACATGACCCAAAGAGACGTGCCTTGAGATATATAGTCGAAGAGATAAATGGACCAGTCAAGCGGGCTTGTGGCCTTGTCAAATCTTAACTCTGGACTCGAGACAAGTTACAGGGTTATGGAAGTTGCAATAACTCTTTCTATTCATCAATACGGACCATTGTCCAGAGAAAGCGATCTAATTTTGCATTTCCTCGAGTAGCATCTTATATCGACGGCGTTTCTTCGACTGACCTGGTCGTAGTTTTCGACGTAATCTCCCCACCTTGCGAGCAAGGTTGGGAAAAATTCTTCTTTCTGCCATCCAAGCAATTAAGAAGCTTCCGGCAACAATTGCGAGCAATTGCAAAGCAAAGAGGTCTGGGAGAGACGTCAACTGCATGGCACGTCTGAGCCACTGAGTTGGTCGGAAAAGCATGTAGCATGAAAAGAATAGAGCCGCTAGGACCATGATCAGGTATGGTGCTAAGGAAAATCAGCTTCTATATCCTGAAGTGTAGACAGTCATTGAATGAGACTAACTGTTTGAGATCATCGGCTTGCGAAATGGCGGTCCGGTGCTGAGCACGACGCTCGACAATATGTATTGGAAGCTAGAGACCAGGAAAAGTACAGTATTTGCAGAATTCTCGATGTTATCCTCTAAGCCTGCGCGGGGAGGTTTGAACCTGGGAAGTGGATCAGCAAATCTCCTGTACATGTTGTACTTCATGGAAAGCATGAATTTCGACGCGTACCAGGGTTGCAGCTGGACATATTTGTATGCCACAAGCTGCGTAGCTACACAAAGGGTAATCTGACCGAGCAATGGAATCAGAACTTTGCGTGAGACGAGGTCGGCGGTGGGCCGCTTGCGAGAAAGTATAGGATGGGGGTCAGTCCATCCCACTTGGATTCCATTAGTACGAGCTTTGATATTGGTTGCGAAATGCACTTACTGAAGATCGCAATCGGTAGGATCAGAAATAAATCAATGAAGAGGAACTTATGCTAGTCAGTAACGATACTTGCATGATCGTTATGGTGTGAAGCAAATACCTGAAAATCACCAAGATTTGACGCTGACGCATACAACAGGCTCACAGTCGCAAACTGTATGGCCGAGTAAAGACTCATGTACTTGAAGCAACAGAAGCTCGTTACCAAGGAGCCTCTTCCTTCCCTATAGATAAACTTAACAGCAAGCTCCCTCGACACTAGGCAACATGTTCCTTACCTAATAAGCGTGGGTACACATGAGATATCGAATTGGCGACTGGTGAACGGGGCAGCAACAGAGGCTTCAGCATCGGATAATGAAATACCGACGTCAGCAGCTTTCAATGCACCGCAATCATTCGCTCCGTCGCCACAGAATCCACAACAGTAGTCGAGGGACTGCAGCTTTTCAACGAGTTCATGCTTCTCGTCTGGCGACATTCTTGCGAACACGCTGCCACGCACGAGCATCTATATGTATGTTTGTTAGACCTGAATTATGGCAGATGCCACTGTCGGCACTAGTCGTCGCTTTATTTACACATACTCTGTTCAGAATTGTTTCGCTGCCGAAGTCAATTGCCCATCGGAAGACTTCGCCACTGACAGCAAGAGAGTAATTATTTAGGTTGGAAACATTGCCAGGCACGGAAAGGTCAATGCTTGCTGCATTTAAATGGGGCTTTATAAATCAGCGAAAGTCACCAACCAAGACACATGAGTCATACCATAAGTGTTGTCGGGTCAAGCCTGATTGCTGGGTCATCTACGCTTTCCCAACAAAGCGAAGCACCCGAATCGTGCCCATACCCTATAAATGAGTTAGTAAAAATATACTTAGTTAAAACATAATCGCAGAGCAAAGAGTTGACCTTGCGAAAAATGAGGAACAAAACAATGTTCGTTGTTCCTGATCAACCCGCACTCACGAGCAACACTAACTGCCGTGAGTATGTTATCACCTGTACACATGACGTTGCGTATGCCTGCTTGATTAAGTTCAGTAATAGTCCCCGCAGTCTTTGGCTTGAGCTTATTCTCAAATATAATGAACCCGAGAAATTCAAGATCACATTCAGCATCATGACGAGTCATTTTCTGAATCTTCATCCAGCTTAGCTTTGTCGCATGCTTGGCAGCGCAGGCAATAACGCGATATCCTTTGTGTGTATAGTAACTCAAAAGCTCGTCATAATCACGGGGCACTTAGGAATTGCTGTTAGTAGTGTTTACACAAGAGCAGATTGGACCACTAACAGCTTCCTGGGAGACATATAGCCTTAACACTTTCTGGAGCACCTTTGACAAAAGTGCTTGCTCCAGAATCACCAAATTGGCGTACAATGACACTTGCACGACGTAACTCTGAGACAAATTCAAAGTTGCGTAATATGCCAAGCTCTACATGTGCCTGTTGAGTATCAGCATCCTGCTTTAGTGAGTCGGAATATTTTATTGAATGTTGCCATACATGTGGGCCCTGCTCCTGGGGGGGGGTAGCAAGGGTGCCAGTGGGCTCTGGAGGTTTTGCGATAGATGGCATGATTCTCTCAGAGTCCGATTGCTCGACATGACTTCCTCCCTCTTTATAAGACCATCCAGTGAACTGAAACATTTTGACGTCGAGAGGATCGCCCAATAATTCACCATCAACCACTCTCAGAGAGTGACATGTTGCCATGGTGTAGAGAATATTATCGTAACGACTTGTCCTCTGTATAGCAGTTCTGTCCGCCAAGAATGCGTTGTCGAAATAAATGGTAGAGATCAGACCGGAGAAACTGCAGCATAGTCAATAGACGCACAAAGGACAGATATGTATTTCCTCAAACCTCGCATTGTTGTCGGCGACCCGAATCCCGAGTACGTCTAGTCCGTCCTCAGTGAGGGTTCCAGTTTTATCAAAACAGATTATATCTAGCTTTCCGCCCATATTGACCCTAAAAAATATTAAACCAAGTTCTCAAGGCCGGAATATCACATTTCTCACCTCTGCGGACTGATGCAGAATATTTTATGATTCTTCAGTCTAGAAAGAGCAAAATTTGTTCCTATACTCAATGTAGCGGGTAGCGCCGGAGGCACGACAATTGTGATTAGATCCAGTGCTCGGACAATAATGAATTGCCAAGGAAGCTTGTCTGTGTTAGCAAGGATGAGTCTGGTAGTAGAATGGGATTTTCTTACTCCTAAGCGGACGAAGTTCACAAAAGAAGCAATGAACCCTAGAATAGCGATAATTCCCATAACTGAAATATACCGGAATGAATCCCGATAAAATTTGAAGCCTGAGGGCTTAGGAAAGAGCATCGACCGGATAAGGGCGCCTTTAGTTGTGAGAAAACCGGTCCTCACAACAACTGCTAGCGCTATAGCTTCATCATCATCGACATTCTGTGGGCGCCGTGCCCTTATTACCTTTGTACCGCTAAAAAGAAAGTGCTTTGCAAGGTTGGGATTGATAGAAGGGCCAGTTAGGTTTAGATACTTCAGTGCATCGTCCGTAAGAGGAAGTTTAGTGACTGGAACAGATTCACCTGTTATGCATTAGTCCATCTTCTCAAGAAGGCAGTCATGTGTATCAGACCTGTCAGCATGCTTTCGTTGACTATGCAGTCACCAGACAACAGTATACAGTCACATGGGACTTGCGTGAGGGACGGATCTGAGAATTCGTAGACATCGCCTGGGACAAGCTCTCGAGATGGAATAGATCTCCCTGTAAATCAAAATATGAGCATATTCCTGGCCCATCGCGGCGTGCAAGATAAGCCTCACATGGGTTCACTTACAGAATCCATTGCGAAGAACACGGGTGTCGCATTCAAATAGTGAGAGCTCTCTCAAACGATTCATTGTCTAAAGGAAGATAAGCACCCATGAAGACAGCGACAGGCCCACGGAAACGCACCGATTTTGTTTCAATGACAGTAGCACCAATGCTGATGAGTGAAATGAGAAATATGCATACAGCATAATAGTAATATTCATCGAGCGACCAAAGTACAAGGCTTGCTAGCTGGAAGATATAGAATGGGTGAAAAGCCTACAGAGTCAGATATCGAAGTAGAAAGGTCCAGGAATTTCACACTTACCTCATCCATAAGCAGTTTAAATGCAGGCTTCTGCTGAATGTCAATGAGATTTTTTCCAAATATTTGTTCGCGATCGTCACGATCATCGGCATCCAGCCCGAGTCTCATTCCCTTCACATTTGTCCATAGGGGATCTTTCCACCCATTTACCAGGCAGAATTTGTCCTCGAGTGGATTGTAGAAGAAGCGAAGATATCTGTAATCAATACGTCTCAATTTGGCAATGGTGGGGTCATTATCTTCGTCGTATGAATGGCAGTCAGGATCGGCAAAAATCGTAGACAAGGGGCGCCCGTAATCTTGACTGTCGACTTGTTGTACTTGAAATCGATTCCATTGATCCTAACGCTAAATCAGCAACAGATAGATAGATATCGGAGGTAAAGCTGCCTACCTCAATCGCAACCCATTCAGAAGCACAAAGAGGGGCTGGTTTACCTAACAGGCGAACGCGCCATTTTGGAAACCATCGAAACAACAGGTAAGCGAAGCCGAATGACAATGCACACAACATGTAATAGAGTACAAGACCAGTGATGCTTGTCGAAAACCCCGCAATCACAATGGTAAGATCTTCTGAGACGATGTGGACTTTCTGGCTTATTATATTTTCGCCTGTCCAATTTTGCGCGTACGAGGCAACAGAGAATGACCGCCGTAGCAGGGGGTCCTCAACAGAGCCTCTTGAATAAGATTGGCGCTTAGAGGACCGTATCGATTCATTTGTATCATTTAGGCCAGTCACGGACACCTCGTCCATGTCGCTCTCGACATCCAATGCGTCCTCCGGTGGCCACAATGTGTGATCCTCATCGTCGTGGAAATATGTAAAGCTGGTGGTAGAGTCTTTCCGATCTCGACGGTGAGAGAATGAGACAATGCTTGATGGTATACTCTCTGATATTGGACCATCATAAACCTAGTTAAGTCAGTGATACGTATCGAAACAGTTTCCCTCGCCACACACCTCACTACGAGCCATTTCAACCTCGGATACAATGCTATAGCTAGAAGAGTGTTAGCAAGGAAAAAGAGACGATTGAATCTGGTGTCAATGACCTGCTTCTCATAGAATTGCGCCGGTTTTCTGCACCGGGCAAATAGACCTCGGATGGCTGCGACTGCCCTTGACGATCCTCCATGTTTAAAAATGCGCCCTGCTGCTCTGCTTCTCGGTTCTCAATGGGGCTGTTTAGCTCGGTGATAGTGTCTGCGAGGTTTGTAATGACAGCGACCAACACGGATATTATGGCAACCTAATCCATAATGACAGTTGGTTGGATGATTGTTCTGGCGGCTACTGAGGGTCTATGCAGTGTGGTGTTGGAACGGGAAAAAGTTGCTTTAGTCATTAAGCGTCTGTTAGATTAAGTCATAGCCCAGCATACCCAGTAACCTAGTTCCGGAGATAGATAAGTTCCTAGGTACGTAGATTAAGTTTTTACCTGTTGCGAAACACTGTACTATACGTACACTGTATCAATGAGAACATCAATACACATGCTTGCTGCTCACAACTTCCCTGATAAGACCACTGCTTAAATAGTCAAACGCCATACCTACCTTCATCACCGACACTACTCATGTGTCTTCAAAGAGTCTCTTCTATATATGGGCAGAAGGTTGTCTATAGGAATAGCATAAAAAATAACGTGTAAAGGGAGAAGAAGACAGTCGTAGGAGAAGAAGGAGAAGCTGGAGGAAGAGAGAGAGAGAGATTCTTATGTGTAGTAGAAATTGTAGAGATCAGCTAGAATTGGTTTTTTGTCTGGCAGAGATGCCTACCATAATTTATACCCGAGCACCTCTTACAAAAAGGCTTCGACTCAATTTATGTTTTGAGGGATGTCCGGAAGGCTAATCTGGATCACTGTTTGCTGTATAAAGTCAATGTGTTACGGACACTATTAGAGACAACTTAATTATATGAACATGTAAAAACCATGTAGAAAGTAAGTTCCAGCATATTACCCCGGTAGCATTTGCTCTAATTAGCAGCAAAATAAGAAGAAATTTGCGGTTTATAAAGAGTTCCTGTGCTTTTAATGCTAGAGGGGAGAAAATACGGAGTAGAAGTCAGTAACTAACATTTATTGTTGGGAGTACCGAGCAGTCCTCAACAGCCAGCACTTTCGTCCCGCCAAGCCCCTCGGCCCAAGGGCGCTAATAATCCCACCAAGCCAGTATTCCAGACCTCGCAAAACTTGGGTGTATCAAAATCTTCCTCCACACTCGCCTTTACACACCTCTCAGCCAACTCAGCTCTGTACTCCCCAAAATAGTTCCCCCTGCTTGTCAGATCACGATGTCTGAACCCATCAGGAACAAGAAAGCGGACATTCCGATCGCACCGTAAGTTTTTTTTCGACCATCCAACTGAATCTCAAATTTGCCGCATGATAGGATTCGATTTCTGATGATACGTGACACCATAGGACACCTCAAAACACTCCAGCCAATAACGCTCCTATCTCTTCTCATGCCCAGCAACCTGGAATTGCCAGCATCAAAGAAGGTAATTGAACGCATCAACTGTCGCCCCCCTTGGTGATTCACCAGACGCTCATTTATTTCCATAGAGTCCCTTGACCATGCTACGGCCGCTTCTCTTTTCGCACGCAATCCGGGTCTAGTCTCCATGATTCAAGGGAAACTGGGCTCTCTTGTCGGCCGCTCTTCGGGCTACATCGAGTCCCTACCCGTATCGGTTCGCCGGCGAGTTGCTGGACTGAAGGGTATCCAGAAGGAGCATGCCAAGCTGGAGGCTCAGTTCCAGGAAGAAGTGTTGGAACTCGAGAAGAAGTATTTTGCGAAATTCACTCCTCTTTACCAGAGACGTGCCACAATAGTTAATGGTGAGACTGAGCCCACTGACTCGGAGGTTGCAAATGGCCGCGAAGAGGAGGATGACGCCGAGGTCGAAGGCGAAGCTAGCAAAGATGAAGCCGATGATTCAACAACAGCTGGAATCCCTGAGTTCTGGCTATCAGCTATGAAGAATCAAATTTCCCTTGCGGACATGATCACTGAACGCGACGAAGAGGCCCTGAAGTATCTTACCGACATCCGGATGGAGTATCTTGACCGCCCTGGATTCCGTCTTATCTTCGAGTTTACCGAGAACCCCTTCTTCTCTAACCAATCCATCTCGAAAACCTATTACTACAAGGAAGAGAACGGCTACGGAGGTGACTTCATTTATGATCATGCGGAAGGCACCAAGATCGACTGGAAAGCGGACAAGGATCTTACCGTACGGATCGAGAGCAAGAAACAGAGAAACAAGAGTATGTCACCCCCGCTGAAATCCCAACCTGTCACTAAAATCTCCAGATACCAAACAAACCCGCGTTGTCAAGATAACTGTTCCCACGGAGTCTTTCTTCAATTTCTTCTCACCCCCACAGCCCCCCTCCGATGATGATGATACTGTCGCCACTGATATCGAGGAGCGTCTCGAACTTGACTATCAGCTTGGAGAAGATATCAAGGAAAAACTGATTCCCAGAGCAATTGATTGGTTCACTGGGGAGGCTCTCCAATTCGAGGAACTAGGTGACGACATGGACGAGGATGAATTCGATTTGGAGGATGATGAAGACGATGAAGACGAAGACGAAGACGATGACCGGGAAACTGACCGTGATGTCGATGAGGACTCAGATGAAGAGGTATGGGCTCGTTCTGATCATTTACCATTAATCATGTTCATATGCTGACAAAGTCGGTAGGACGGTACTTCTAAGCCGAAGAAGGAGGCAGCAGAATGCAAACAAAGCTGAGGGCGGTTTGATTTGACACAGCCATAAGAACTGTATCTCAGTCGTGACCGGACTTATATGTGCTTGGTTGTCTCAACTGTTTCCTACACCCGTGCGCCTTTTGTTCGATTTCTAATATTGCCTCAAATTGTTTCTCCTATCAGATGCCTCCTACTCCTAATCTCTTCTTATGTTTATGCACTAGCAAAGTTCTCAAATACAAACATCTTACTCAAAGTCTTAAAGTCTCACGGGTCTGCGCTGACGCATGTATTTCGGTAGCGAGTCTCTTAATTATCTTTTGCCGTTAAATTAGGTTACTGGCCTCTGTTAGATTCCCAGGATGCTTGGGGCAATTGGAGTTTAATCTCATTCCTGGTGTTATCAATTGTTTCTATGCTTTTACAAATATCACCAGCAGTAGCGGAAGATAACAATTGCCGGAGAAGGATATTTTGTAAAGCTCTTTTCATTGAATCGGAGGTGTTGGGTGGATAGTTTGAGAGGGTCATTGCATTGTAATATCTCTTCGCGGGCGGTTCACCACACCGCTAATTGCAATAGTAGTCGATATTGTACGTAAGACGGAAGTTAGTCGCAGTCATGTTCAATGCAAGGAATTGGAACATCATGGTTAAATCAGAACATGCACCCAAGGTTCAGTTAACGGGATTATACGTCAGTTCTCTTGACATTTTTCTTAGACGCGGACAAAAATAGTAGAAGTGTACCAACGAAGGCCTTTCGATAATGATGATGACCCTTGGCATTGGCTTTGACAACTGTGGAGAGTGTCTCGATAAGTGGCGCGGCCGTCCAGGCCCGCCTCAGGGGCTGCGGCTCGCGGCTCGCGGCTCCGGGCTCGGTAACGCCAGCTGTTAGCCAGTTCAATAATTTCTCCCTGAAGGGGAGCATGAAGACTATCTTCTTTCTCAAGCAAACCTCCTACGATCTCCGGCGTGTCAAGGTATGATTCTCTGACCTTTGAATTGAACTCGACTATCTCCCTTTTTTGTTCTCGCTAGATGCGTGCGGCATCGGCCATCCATACAAGATTGTCGAACGTCTTACACTGGTTTTCCGGCCCAATCTTGTTCAGGATATTGTCTTGAGTGCCAACAAAGTTATTAAATGGCTCACAACTACGAGGTGGGCACGAGGGCCTGGCAGCCCGATCCGACCGAGGGCTGGATTGCTTCTGAGGTGAAGGAGAAGCATGTAGATGGAGACAAAGTGCAACTCGTCTTTTCCATAGAAAATGGAGAGGTACGTTACCATTGTTCGCATCTTTGCGAGTCACCAACGCGGGAGGCTAAATCCTCTTCGGCAATAGACAAAAACCTTCGAAACCAGTCAAGCTGAATTGCAAATTGACAACAACCCGAACTTGCCTCCGTTGATGAACCCTGCCATGCTGGAGGCCAGTGAGGATCTCACAAATTTATCGCACCTGAATGAGCCTGCTGGTGAGTATCCATCTTGCACCCGTAGCGCAATGGCAACTGAAATCCTTGAAGTCCTCCAGGCTATAAAATTACGTTATGCACAGAAAGAGATTTATACCTACAGTGGTATCGTCCTTATTGCTACGAATCCCTTCGCCCGGGTTGACTCCCTCTATGTTCCGCAAATGGTGCAAGTATACGCTGGCAAACACCGAGCATCTCAAGCACCTCACCTGTTTGCCATCGCCGAGGAAGCATTTGCGTAAGAGCCGATCCTTCGTTCGATCTGTCTCCCCAGCTCACATAATCTGCGCAGCGATATGCTACGAGATGGTAAGAACCAGACCATTGTCGTTTCTGGCGAGTCAGGGGCCGGAAAAACCGTCAGCGCAAAGTACATTATGCGATATTTTGCAACCCGCGAGTCCTCCGATCAGCCTGGCAAGTACACCACAAGCCGGGCAGATGCAATCAGTGAGACCGAAGAGCAGATCCTAGCCACCAATCCTGTCATGGAGGCTTTTGGAAACGCCAAAACAACACGCAACGATAATTCTTCGCGCTTCGGAAAGTACATCGAAATCATGTTCGATGACAAAACTAATATCATAGGCGCAAAAATCAGGACTTATCTTCTGGAAAGATCTCGCCTGGTGTTTCAACCCCTCAAAGAGCGGAATTACCACATTTTCTACCAGTTGGTAGCCGGCGCAACGGATGCAGAGAAGCAGGACCTTGGTTTGACTTCGATTGAAGATTTCGATTACCTCAGTCAGGGCGGGACGCCGACGATTGATGGTGTTGACGATCGCACAGAATTCACTGCGACCAAAAAATCCTTAAGTACCATTGGCGTGCCCGAAAAGACTCAAGTGGAGATTTTTAGGGTCCTCGCAGCTTTGCTTCATCTCGGAAACGTCAAAATTACCTCCACAAGGACTGACTCCAATTTGTCATCTTCGGAGCCTTCTCTTATGCGAGCCTGCGATATGCTGGGAATTGATGCCATCGAGTTTGCAAAATGGATAGTGAAAAAGCAGCTGATTACGAGGGGCGAAAAGATCACGTCTAACCTCACACAGCAGCAAGCAATCGTCGTGAGAGACTCTGTTGCCAAATTCATTTATTCGAGTTTGTTTGACTGGCTTGTTGATAAAATCAACCGTGGTTTGGCTACTGATAATATCTTGAGCAACTTCAAGTCCTTCATTGGCGTCCTAGATATTTACGGCTTTGAACACTTCGCAAAGAACTCCTTCGAGCAGTTCTGCATCAACTACGCCAACGAGAAATTACAGCAGGAGTTCAATCAGCACGTCTTCAAACTTGAGCAAGAAGAATACATACGGGAACAGATAGATTGGACATTCATTGACTTCTCAGACAACCAGCCTTGTATTGATTTGATTGAAGCGAAACTGGGTATTTTGTCTCTTCTGGACGAAGAGTCTCGGCTACCCATGGGCTCAGATGAACAATTCGTGACGAAACTTCATCATAATTTCGCAGCGGACAAACAGAAATTCTATAAAAAACCACGTTTCGGCAAATCTGCGTTCACGATCTGCCATTATGCTGTTGATGTAACTTATGAATCTGATGGGTTCATAGAGAAGAACAGGGATACTGTACCTGATGAGCACATGGAAATTCTGCGCAGCTCATCCAACGAGTTTGTGAAGGAGATTCTCGATACCGCTGCCGCTGTCCGCGAGAAAGACTCAGCTTCTATCTCTTCCAAGCCTGTTGCTGCTCCTGGGCGCAAGATTGGAGTTGCTGTCAATCGCAAGCCTACTCTTGGTGGTATCTTCAAGTCGTCATTGATTGAGCTGATGAACACGATCAACTCGACAGATGTTCACTACATCCGCTGTATCAAACCGAATGAGGCCAAAGAACCCTGGAAATTTGAGGGTCCAATGGTTCTTAGTCAATTGAGAGCTTGCGGTGTTCTCGAAACTGTCCGCATCAGTACAGCAGGATACCCAACGCGCTGGACCTACGAAGAATTTGCTATAAGATACTACATGCTCTGCCATTCGTCGCAATGGACGTCGGAGATTAGAGATATGTGTCATGCCATTCTACAGAAGGCTCTTGGTGATGGCACTCAGAAAAAGCAAGGCAAGTATCAGTTAGGCTTGACCAAAATCTTTTTCCGTGCTGGTATGCTTGCTTTTCTTGAAAATCTCCGCACATCCAGGCTCAATGAATGCGCAATAATGATCCAGAAGAACCTGCGATGTAAGTACTACCGGCGCAGGTATCTCGAGGCTCGTGCCTCTATCCTTACAACTCAAGCTCTGGCGAGGGGCTTTCTTGCAAGACAGCACGCGGCTGAGATCCGTAAGGTCAAAGCAGCTACAACCATCCAACGGGTGTGGAGAGGGCACCGGGAAAGGAGGAACTACACTCGAATTCGCGCCAATTTCGTCCTTTTCCAGTCAGTTGCGAAAGGATTCCTCTGTCGACAAAACATCTTGGATACAATACATGGCAACGCAGCGAAAGTAATACAACGATCTTGGCGTTCTTGGTGGCAGTTACGCGCGTGGAGGCAGTACCGTCGGAATGTTATCATCGTTCAAAATCTCTGGAGAGGCAAGCAGGCCAGGAAGCAATACAAGAAGCTTCGGGAGGATGCAAGAGATCTGAAACAAATCTCCTACAAACTCGAAAACAAGGTGGTAGAGTTGACTCAGTATCTCGAGTCACTGAAGCGTGAGAACAAGGCTTTGAACACACAATTGGAGAATTATGAGACTCAACTGAAGTCTTGGAGAAGTCGTCACAATGTTCTCGAAAACCGTTCTAGAGAGCTACAGGCTGAGGCCAATCAAGCTGGCATCACTGCTGCTCGGTTGACCGCTATGGAAGACGAAATGAATCGGTTGCAGCAAAATCATAATGATGCACAGGCAACAGTCAAGAGACTTCAGGAGGAGGAAAGGATATCACGAGAGTCAATACGTTCTGCGAACCAGGAGCTGGAGCGACTACAGCAGCTAAATAGTGAAGCAGAGGACGAGAAAGCCTCGCTTCGTCAACAGATCGTCGAACTCGAGGAGCAGCTCGAGATCGCGAAGCGAACCGTTCCCATAAATGGCTTGAGTGGTGACCAACCGAACGGTGGGCCAACCCCACCTCCTGCGACCGGCTTGATCAACCTGGTGTCCTCGAAAAAGCCCAAGCCTAAGAGACGCAGCGCTGGTGCTGAGCGGATCGACACCGATCGTTTCAGTGGAGCTTACAACCCGAGACCGGTCTCTATGGCTATCCCGAGTTCTGCAATGGGACGTCAGCCATTCACAGGCAACACATTCTCTCCAGGACTGGATTCTGTTGAGGTAGAGCTTGAGAATCTACTCTCCGAGGAAGATGAACTCAATGAAGAGGTGACGATGGGCCTGATTCGCAACTTGAAGATCCCACTACCCAGTTCCACACCGCCTCCTACAGAGAAGGAGGTTCTTTTCCCGGCATACCTTATCAATCTTGTAACGTCAGAAATGTGGAACAACGGATTTGTGAAAGAATCAGAGCGCTTTTTGGCCAATGTCATGCAGTCTATACAGCAGGAGGTCATGCAGCATGACGGCGACGATGCTGTCAATCCCGGGGCTTTCTGGCTTTCTAATGTACACGAGATGCTCTCGTTCGTGTTCTTGGCCGAAGATTGGTACGAAGCCCAGAAGACCGATAATTTCGAGTATGACCGCTTGTTGGAGATTGTCAAGCACGACCTAGAGAGCCTAGAGTTCAATATCTATCATACTTGGATGAAAGTGCTGAAGAAGAAGCTCTTCAAGATGATCGTACCAGCGATCATCGAATCCCAATCACTTCCGGGTTTTGTCACAAGCGAGACAAACCGATTCCTTGGAAAGCTTCTTCCATCCAACAACAATCCTGCGTATAGTATGGATAATCTCCTCAGCCTTCTGAACAATGTCTACAAAGCGATGAAGGCTTTCTATCTTGAGGAGTCCATCATCACTCAGACGGTGACCGAACTTCTTCGACTCGTGGGTGTTACGGCTTTCAATGACCTTCTTATGCGAAGAAACTTTCTGTCCTGGAAACGTGGGCTGCAGATCAACTACAACATTACTCGCATTGAGGAATGGTGTAAGAGCCATGATATGCCTGAGGGCACACTGCAGTTGGAGCATTTAATGGTAAGCATGTTTGGCCAGTATTCGATATGAGAGAGTACTAACCCATTCCAAAGCAAGCAACCAAGCTTCTACAACTGAAGAAGGCCACGTTAAATGACATAGAGATTATTCAAGACATTTGTTGGATGTAAGAACATATTTCCTGTCTTGGCTTTGCTACGCCGAATTTACAAGATGCTGACCACTATATATTTAGGCTGTCTCCCAACCAGATACAGAAGTTGTTGAATCAATATCTTGTTGCTGACTACGAACAACCTATCAATGGCGAAATCATGAAAGCGGTTGCGTCTCGTGTCACGGAGAAGAGCGATGTGCTTCTTCTTACTCCCGTTGACATGGAAGACAGTGGCCCGTACGAAATCGCAGAGCCGCGTGTCATCACAGCATTGGAGACATACACACCGTCTTGTAAGTGAGACTCGAAGTTTATGGCCGCCGCAAGCCTCACTGACATTTTTAAAGGGCTACAAACACCGCGCCTGAAACGGCTTGCCGAAATAGTATCAGCACAGGCAATGGCTCAACAGGACAGGTTGGATATGACAGAAACGAGCGAGGGAGCAATTCCTGCCAAATAATTTGTACATTGGAAATAGCCCTATCACATCACATGGTGAAAACGTCAGGGACTAGCAGCCCTGATTAGCCGCTCCTTAATCAGCGAAAGCGCACCATCGTCGTTCGTCGATTTTCACTCAAAGCTGATCATCACGTGCTTTCCCTGCCTTTCTCTTCATTATATATTACCATTGCATCAACGATACTGTTATCGACCGAGCAACCAGAATACTGTTTTGCAGATTCGCTCAACCCGCAAATTTTCACCGATCAAGGAAAGCTCGGACTTCCGGGCCGACTTCTGGGCACACTTGATTTTGGAGCGCAATAGTGCTTGTGGGGTTGTGGAGAAAAAGAATTCGTACCCGTCGAGGCTGACCAACGTTTTGACAACACTATATTTCTTCCATGTTTCCATGTCCTAGTCGCCAATTTCACCCGAGGGTCGTCTCACATTTGATCAAACTAGTCACATTTTATTCATTGGGAGCATTGCAAACATGGCGCCTTTAAAACAGTTGAACTTCATCACGGGCAACAAAAACAAGTTGGCTGAAGTCAGGGCTATCCTAGGCAGTGTAATTCATGTCGATAGCCAAGCGATTGAAGTGCCCGAAATCCAGGGCACAATCGAGGAAATCGCCAAGGACAAATGTAGACGTGCTGCAGAAGCGGTGAGCAGCGATCTTCTGATATTTCCGAGGGTCAAATAATATTAAATCAAGGTTGTTCCTGCTGACATGATCGAACAGATTAAAGGTCCGGTTTTGACGGAAGACACGGCTCTGGAGTTCCATGCGCTGAAGGGTCTACCTGGCCCATACATGTAATGTCTTCAGTGCCTAAAAAAGCTTAAGCGTGGCATGCTGATGTATGACCAAGCAAATCGTTTCTTGACGCCCTGGGCCACGAAGGGTTGAACCGAATGCTTGACTCATTCGATATGAAAACAGCGGAGGCCGTCTGTACCTTTGCGTTCTCTGAAGGCCCTGGGTCGGAACCTATCTTATTTCAAGGCAGAACCGAGGTAGGACTGACTAGAACATGCCATCAGTATCTGCAACTGACGCCAGCTGTGAAGGGAGCTATTGTCCGCCCAAGAGGTCCCGCCAACTTCGGTAGGTATAGATGGACAGTCAGTCTTGAGTCTAACCACCTGTGATTAATTCATGCATTCTTCCTAGGTTGGGATCCGATCTTCGAATACCAAGGCAAAACGTATGCCGAGATGGATAAGGACGAAAAGGTACCCTACGGGATCCGCCTCCCCCCCCTTACTACTTTGTTCGCTAATCCTTAATTAGAATCGGATCTCCCACAGATACAAAGCCCTGGTCAAACTGCAAGCCTGGTTAACTCGTGAACAATCCTGATCTGATCCTTCCGTGATGGAGCCTGTTTGAGGCGATTGAATTTGAATTTAACATGTCAGTAGTAGTTAGTCTGTATTTATTGCCTGATTGCTCTTCCAGGACTCTATCCAGCCGGAAATTCGTGCGCAATTAGATTCTACATCGTCATCCTTTTCACTATTTAACTCGACCACAACTTCTTCGTCGAATGATTCGCGGGCTTCCTCGAGAAGAACACCGAATATTTCCGCATCCAAATTTTCTTGCAGCTTCGCTTGCTTGTAGCCCCTGTGGAAAATCAAATCATAGTCAGACACCAGGCTTTCTGTAGCAACAGGTTGTTGAAGATTAGGGTTTGAAGGTACCTCGATGTTAGACGGTCATATAGAATGGACGTGGATGGGCAACGTAGAACCACCACAAGATCAACCCAAGACTTGGGAAAAAGATCACAGGCATGCCAATCAATCAAGTAGCCACCCCTCTGCAGCTCCTCTTCGACAGCATCGAGTAGCTGAAATTAAAAATGCTTAGTATGCCCCATAGAACCACAAGCATTGAACAGACGTGAGATCATAAAAGCACACAAGATCTCGGGGTCCTATTTTAAACGCACTTTGTCTTCATCAACAACCCATGTTTGCAATTCCTGGTCGTAGGTGTCGTAACAGTCCCGGTCTTTCGCAATCTGATTGATCGAGAGATGTCGCAAACCAGTCTCCTCGGCTAACTGTGCACAGTGAACAGTTTTCCCTACACCAGGCGTCCCTGTAATAACTATATTCGGAGTTGATCGCATGCTGAAACCTTGCTGTGTGGGTTTTAACACCGAATCCTGCTGCGGTGGTCGATAATCATATCAAGGCGAAATTTCTGGTGGCGGTTCAACTGGTTACTCTGCCTTGCGTCGCGGGGCACAATCGGAACAACCCACCAACCGATTTTAGCCGGGCGATTCCAAACCAATTGGTTGCCTACTTTATAACTTACCTACTTTACAGTATTAGGAGTTCTCGAACGGGCGTGTGAACATCCTATCATGGATTACACTACCATGTGTGCCAGCTTGGCTAGTATAATGATTTAGGAAAGAACGGTATCCAGTTTTAAAGATATTCGGTAGTCATGCTTCAAAAAACCGACAGGGTTGTTACGCATTACTGCTAGGGCGATTCAACCGCCTCTGCTGCCCCATTGTCTACGGGCGGAGCTACGCTTCAGAGAAAGTGACTCCGTGCCTAGCTAAACCATTGATGATTTGTGACTGAATAGTCTACTTAGATTCGAGGCTATCCCTATAGACCTCCATGGTATATGGCGAGCCTTCAAGTTTGGCAGGTGGCTTGGAGTCTAGGAGAATAAAACCGTAAGCATTTGTACCGATAGCAGAATGCTGTAACTTACTTGAGAAGTTCGAATGCGGTATATTTTTGTAGGTATGCCGTCCCGCGCCTGTATCCTTTGAGAATTCTGGCAGGGTCGGGGTTCAACCCTGGAGTGTCTTTTAGTCGCTTGATTGCAGGAGGAGCTTTGAACATCGGGTCGAAAACCAATAAGTTTGCACTTCCATTATCACGAATTTCGAACCCAATAATTGTCATGGAGTGTCCTATGTAAAGATTGTCACATGTCAGCGCTTGCGCTTGGGCGGGAGAATGAAAGACGGGAGTTGTCCAAACCCTGGTGCTGAAAATAGATGGGCGGTAAGTCGGTAGAGATGACCTTATCTTCCCTCTCCAGGTTGCGTGTGCCCCGGAAATAGGAAGCAACATTCATGAACAATGCATCATGGGCTCGCATGCTCTCCGTGGGTCCAATGCTATTGGCTACGCAGCTATAGCTAGTCAGTTTCTCGTATCTGAGGCGTTGGTGAGATGGGCTAACAACTTACAGTATTCCGAGACTTGAAAACAGCGCTTGAGCCTATGCAATAATATATCAACCGAACTTTCTTTTTCTCGGATTTGAGAGATGAAGCAGAAAAGTATTACCTCGGGTGTGCCAATATATTTTCTGGTTCCCCGAATGCCACCAGTTTCAATTCTTCCTACACTGTTGAATCCCTTGTCCCATGCATTCTCAATCATATCCTGGAGCTGAAGGATTGTAGGCAATTCCCCAGAGAACCACTCATGCCCTGGCAATCGAGTGTTCTTGATATAAGTGATTAGCATCTGGATATTCCTGTAGCCACAAAAGCCGCCTTCCCTAGGCATTTTTGAGATTTGGTGAACCATGGAGCTACAGAAGAAGGCACGCTGGACAGATTTATCACGATCACATAACCGAGCAAGCACAAAGATCACGTCCGTCACCTCGTTCTCAAAGGTTTCCGCCTTTCGAAGTGCATCATTCGCAGATAGAGTGTTGGTCAAAATCGACTTAGGACCTTTTTCAAGCACTCTTCGCAACCACGAGGGCATTTGTTTTTCATGCGCATGGGGCCCTAATTCTGACCGCTATAGAATGGTCAGCGAGATGCATCGACCGTGAGACAGATGAGCTATCTCTAAGTGGAACAGAAGTAGGGAGCTGATAGAATCAATACCCCAAGTCGTTTGATGCCTTCAGTAGGAACACACTTCTCCGGTCCAGCTGTTGCCACCATGAGTGGTTCGGATCCTCCGAGTGAAAGCTTTGGGAGTGATGAAGTGCCAACGCATTGCTTGTGAGCACTTCTAGCGGGTTCTGACAATTTATTTGGTGGGCGAGCCGAGACCTCCTCAAAGGCGATCTCTTCCGCAGCGTGTAGATCAAGGTGAGCCGGCAATTCCGCTTCCATCACGGCCTCACCACAGCCGCAAGGGCACTCGATGTACCCACCGGGTTGGCCGTCTTGAAAACCCGACAGCAAAAGTTGCTGCTGATATGGCAGCACGAGAGTTTGCTCTGCGTACTGGTGGCTTGCTCTGTTACTGGCTCGTATGTCATTCTCTGATTGGCAAGATTCCACATGTTCCATGACAAAATGACTGTCAGCATCAGAGAAGGGACAAAAGGGGCATGTCGGATCGCTATCGGTCGGATGATCCATAGAGAGTCGATAATCATGGAATAACGTCGAAGAAGCGTTTGGCGTTCAGCAAAGGGAATCAAAATTAGGCCAGGGGCAATATCCTAGCGAACGAGAACTGGAGATTTCGCGTTTTTAACCTAAGTTGCAATTGCTGCCTGCGGGGCCCCGGAGCGGATACTGATAAATATGAATCAAGCTACGGGTTCTCGACAAGCTCGAAGCCGGGCGCCCAGCGTCGGCACCCACATACACGAGCATTTAAGATTGATGAGAGACGACTACCTAGAGAGGTATCGTCACTATCATTAGCAACCAAGATTTTCTAGCCCAGATTCACATTCGATTATGATTCCACGTGACATCTCCCGCAGATTTAGGTGGGTCTGAGATGTACCGGTACGTCTGACCTAAAGGCGAGTAACTTTGATTTGATAACTAGTCTGATGGGTCCAAAAAGTAAACATAGCTTCTGTATGCGTTTACTGTTCGACTGATGCTAGTGCATCAGGGGGGGTTTGGAGACAGGGTCAGAGCTAGTGAGTGACAGTGAGCTATTGTTTGAGACAATAGTTGATTCGAGGCTTGAAGAGACCTAAGTACGTACATAGAACTGAAAGAATATCCTTGTACCACTGGTAACGAAGTGAAGCAAATGACTGTGTCTGTTGGCTCTCTCTATATAGTTATATGTAACTAGTTAGTACGTGGTTGATTGTCTACTCAGCAGTATTTGAGGTTGAGGTACCTACTCATGGTAAAGTCGGTTGATTAACTTAGTTGACTAAGTATAGTTAGTTAAGCTCAAAAGCCATGACTAATAAGCATACTAAACAATCAGACTTTTTCCCACCGATATCGTGATCCGCACAAAGGAAGGCGGAACAGCAAAAGGTAAAGAATGATTCGCTCACCTTTGTCAATGCTCTGCTCCGCTTTCGCAGACCCCGCCAGGTGCACATAAAAATGGCTGTCCCGCAACCGGAGCCGATCGCAAGGGCATGTTACTGACCTCTTGATTGCAAGGACCCCAAACCTTTTCCCCTGGTCTTCAGTATGAATGAACCGCTAGTCGTCGAGCAAGATTCCTCATCCATGGTCAATACCGGCCTCGAGGGTTCCTCTGGCAGCGATTGGGTCGTGCAGAAGTTTGGTGGTACGAGCGTTGGCAAGTTCGCCTTGAATATCATCGACCAGGTTGTTCTGTAAGTGGCCTCGATTTCCTCCTGCCCGGGTTAGAGCCCGCCACAGAGATTGTTAACCTCTCGTATCCAGTCCAAGTCTTTCCGAGCATCGTGTTGCTGTAGTTTGCTCAGCGCGAAGCAGCTCGACCAAAGCTGCTGGTACCACCAACCGGTGAGTCATATTCCTCCCAGAGCAGCGATGGCAACCGCGATTGCCCAAAATGTCCCATTGTCATGCCCCCAGTTACCAAATCTCACCAAGCCAGCGTCTGATTCATTACTTCATCGTCAGGTTACTCCGAGCAGCGCGGGATGCGGAAGACGCTCTGTCTCAACAATATGCCTCTCTTGTAGAGGCCGTTCGGTTGGAACATATTCAGGTAGTCGGAGATCAAATCCAGTCAAATACAATCAAGTCACGGCTGGTTTCTGAGATCAATGCGGAGTGTGACCGAGTACTCAAGGTGTTGGAGGCTGCGCAAACACTTGGTGAGATTAGCGCAAGGTGCATCGATAAGGTGATCAGTACCGGGGAGAAGCTAAGTTGCAGACTTATGGCTGCTTTTCTCGAAGATCGGGGCGTCAAGTCGCAATATGTGGACCTGGCCGAGATTATCGATTTCCCCATCTCGAGCCAGGGTCTTGACCAAGAATTCTACAATAACCTAGCTGCTGCTCTCGGAAGAAAGATCGAAAGTTGTGGAGATAGGGTCCCTGTCGTTACCGGATTCTTTGGGACTGTACCCGGCGGTCTTCTTGATCAGATTGGACGGGGCTACACTGATCTATGTGCTGCTCTCGTTGCTGTGGGGATAAAAGCGAAGGAATTGCAGGTGTGGAAAGAAGTTGATGGCATCTTTACAGCCGACCCACGGAAGGTGCCAACTGCACGCCTGCTTTCTGCCATAACACCGGCAGAGGCAGCCGAGTTAACGTTCTATGGTTCGGAAGTGATTCACCCCTTTACTATGGAGCAAGTCATCCGTGCCAAAATCCCTATTCGCATAAAGAACGTCATGAACCCGCGGGGAGATGGCACTGTTATATTCCCCGACTCCTCCAGCGAGCTGGAGAAGACGACCCCCGGCCATGATCCACGATTGTTCCGTACCCGGAGTCCCAGTCTTATGCAGCGGCCGAAGCGCCCCACGGCCGTGACAATCAAACACAAGATCCTCGTCATCAATGTACATTCGAACAAACGATCACTCTCTCATGGTTTCTTCGCAGGCATATTCTCTGTGCTCGATCGATGGAGGCTTTCTATCGATTTGATCTCGACGAGCGAGGTACATGTTTCAATGGCCCTTCATTCCGAGATGCCCCTGCTAAATGGGACCGGAAGAGACGAATATCAGATCATAGACGATGACCTGAAGGGAGCTATCCAGGACCTTCAGAAGTATGGAACCGTCGATATCATACCAGAGATGGCCATTCTCAGTCTTGTGGGAAAACAAATGAAGAACATGATTGGGGTTGCGGGACGAATGTTTTCGACTCTGGGCGAAAACAATGTTAATATTGAGATGATTTCTCAAGGTACGTATCCTTAGACACTTTACTACTGTCCAATAGCTGATCAACACTGTGTCTCAAGGTGCAAGCGAGATCAATATTTCTTGCGTCATCGAGGAAAGAGATGCTGATCGCGCTTTAAACATAATTCACACCAGCATGTTCACCTTTTTAGACTAGACTAGTGCTCTGATGTATGTCTTTCTTCGCTTGCTTCATTTTTACTTTCTGTAAAGTGCATCCTGGTCTCCAGCAGTATAAGATATCCTTTGCAAGTTTTGGTTTGTGAAAAGCTCGATTCTGGTCCACGCTGATCCTACTTCCAGGTCAAGGCTATTATCTGGGCCTCGACTTGCTTGTTGTTGCTGGCTGCGTGCAGATGTCATTTTTCTCCTTAGTGATCTTGGTTGTGTTTCCTCTCTGTGATCCCTTGATTCATGATACTTTCCCCCGCCCCCTCTCATACTAGTCCTGTGTCCTTGCTTTTGTGGGCGTGCATGTGTCGGCGCTATGTATTACAATAGTCTTTTCGGATAATCATGTTTCTACTGCATCTTGTCAAAACAGGACCGACAGAACTTCTAAATGATTACGAATAGAACAATTATCTATGTTTTCCTGCCTACTATCTCATAGAATGATGCTAAAAGGATACACCAGAGGTCCACCGGTGTCTTACTACAGGACGAAACAAGTATAAAAACTACGTACAAGATGCACGCAACGGGTGGAGGGTTGTTGAAAATAAATGGGTGCAACTGAAGTAGGTAACTATTGCCAACGGCATGAGCGGCTTAATAGATACAGGAATATATGTATATATATATATATACATCTCACTAAATGAATCCAGAGACGGCTGGCCCATGGTAAATGATGATCCCGAACTGCAAAGTCAATACATAAGTCTGGTTCCTAATCAATGCGCCCTTACAGATGCAGCCCGACCTTGCACTCAAGGACGTAGGTACGAGAAATACTCCCACAAATGCAGTACACTAGATCAGCCTAAGTGCGGAGGTTGGACACAGGATGTTTTCATAGGACTCCGTAGTAGGACAGGTCCATATATACTTACATAATATAACTTATACCTTACCTGAAACCGAGGTCGACTGGAATCATATAAGTAAAGAGGGAATGGGACGGACACCACTGGATTAGATCTATAACACAACCATGCCCGTGCATGAGTAAGACTGTACGCACGGCGCAATACATCCTTAGGTAGTCATGCAGGTACTGACCAGATTGCACATCCGAGCCAAGGCTAATGTATTCGTACATGCCGCAAGATGGGGGGGCACATTGTTCGCGAGGGTCCGCTAGTACTGTCTAGTGCCAAGATTTACAGTACTGTACGTAATGATTGTTGTATTCATACTATAGGTTTGACCGTTGGGTACTTATCATGTGCAGTGATTATGTACAGTACTGTACCTAGTAGCAAGAAATGTGGTACGTATGTTTGTGAGCAAGGACCGGACCTTGCGGGGAAGCATACGGAGTACGGAAGTATGGAGTAGTACGAAGATGTACAGTGCTAGTAGGTACTGTACGTAATATGAGTACTCCGTACTCCATAGCTTAGACTAGGACCTCAATTCAAGTTCAGTGGTCTAATAATACTCTAATCGATTGAAGGGGAAACGGGTGGCCCACCCGGTCCTCATGATCTGCCGATTGCACAGCAAGTGATTGGAGGAGAGCTTGCTTCCTTCGGGCGGCAATGGAGCAAGGAGACCAATCAGTAATGTCAAATCCGTACATGCCTTGAGAGCCAAATTCAATGTGTATCGTTATTTGTGACAATACTGGAGCGCTGGATCTGGGTCATGAGCATATTCTCCGCTGGAAGAGACGCGTCTTCATCACGCGTCAAAACCATACCATACTACCTGACGAGACGCGCAAACTCCCTATTAACAGGTTTGGAGTCATGCTTGTCCTTCTTCCCTTTCATTCTTCAATCTGCTAAGAATTGCTATTTTCCAAATATCTCGCGCATATTCCACTTGACCCCCCCCTCCCCCCCACCTTGCCTGGAGGGACCTACCTTACCAGGCAGGCAAAGGCATTTCGAACTTAGAGGTGAGAGCTGCTTTCCCGCGTACCTCCTCTTTTTCGATATCCCACCGACCTAGTCTTCGTCACTTGGCAATATCTTCGAGCCTGACCTACGAATTAAGTATCGTCAGCATCGCTCTCATCCTTTCAGCATCTGGATCATTCACCAAGTAGAACAGCAAGTGAAAAGGCCTATTTTGCACTTGCGGCTAGTACTGTGAACCAAATTTCCAGTCACAATCGCGTTTACCAATCTCGCTTCATATGACTTGTGCTTGATTATCACCCTATGCCACCTCTACTACATCAGGTGGCCTGATTGCTAAGTCTCCTAGCACGGATCTTCCCATCCTTCTTTAAGGCGCCTGGGCGACGCCCTTGTCTTCTAGGCTTCATTTGTTTGCGATACAACTTGAACGTTAATTGCTTCCGTTATCGGTGCCCTATCGAAGCCCAACGTCTCTGGTTCAAGTCCGTCACCATTAATTGATTCTCAGAGACCGCGGCGTGTTTGGCGCTCATCAACTTCTCACTCATTCTCCATAAAAGGTTGCGCTGGCGGCAAATATGAGTTCAACACACTCGGCTTCGACTGTTTCGGGGCCCTCACCACCCCTTCATGGCAGGGTCGTGTCCAAGCCACATCCTCACCTGGAGCCATCGCCTCTACCATTGCAGCCTGTTGAGAATGTTCCCTCGACTCAAGTTCGTGAATTATGTCCGATTCCTCCTGGCTTACGAAGATTGTCACCAACGAAAGCGTATCGAGGCTCGGCTGCTTCAATTTCAGGCCGAGGGAAGTTGGGATTTGTCCCGATCACAGCTCCCCCTCCGCCAGCCTTCACGACCGATTCACCCACCAAGCGACCATCTGTTCCGGCATTCAGTCTTACAGCTGCCACTTCATCGATGCCGCAATCCGCTCTTTTCACAACCTTTCCCTCAGTCAACCCTGGGAAACGGTCACACAAGGAAACTCATGTCTTAGATGATACTCCCAGTGACAGTTTCGCTGACTTCCCTGAGCCTACCTTGATATCCAAGCATTCTATGAAAAGAACCCTTCTAGACGCCGCCCCACTCAAGGAACGGGCGATCAAAAAATTGAAGCGTGAAGACATTACTGTGATGCGACTCCCAGAACCATACGAGATGCCACTAGTCGAAGATGACGGCACAAAACCACCGTACAGCTATGCAACCCTGATTGGAATGTCTATTTTGCGTGCTCCTAACAGGAAGCTGACCCTTGCACAAATATACAAGTGGATATCTGACACTTTCTCATACTACAAGAATAGCGATCCTGGATGGCAGAACAGCATTCGCCACAATCTCAGCCTCAACAAAGCATTCATTAAACAGGAGCGACCGAAAGATGATCCAGGCAAAGGCAATTATTGGGCCATAGAGCCTGGCATGGAGGCGCAGTTTCTCAAAGACAAGCCCCTGCGCCGAGCGACAATGTCAAGTCTCCCGCTCCCGGCAGCTCCTCCTAGGGATCCGGCTCCTTCTCAGAGCTCTAGTACAACCACATGGGCTGTTCCTCCACCGACATTTACTACAACAGCGAAACCATCGAAGACTGTAGATCTGTCATCTGACGCGACGCTTCCTGCTTCTGACCCCGCGCTCCAAGATGATACAGGCGACGAAAGTGTGAATTGCAATGCTTTGCAGCCTCCAGCTCCTCGTTCTTCTCCTCCCCAACCGATCCATTCCTCACCTCCTGTTATAGCAGCTCGCTACTCCCGCCAAGGAACCCCTCCAACTCCTTCTCATAATAATACATCTTCCAGCATTGTCCACATCAACAGCAAGCGAAAAACGCATGCTATGAATGACAGCGGTTACTTCTCGTCCTTGGAATCTTCTGCCATGCGACCAAACAAGGCCGGGCACATCCTGACCTCAGATTTGGAAATCGAACCCCCTCGCATCAAACGCGGTCGCGCAGAAGAAGAGATTGCCCGTATTCGAAGCTCGTCACATGACATAAGTCCCAGTCATTGCGCAGTGGTGAAAGAATCAGGGGTCGTCGTAAATTCCTCTCCACTACGCGGTGAATTTGTCAGCATGCTTCCTCCTCCAATTACGCCCTTAATCAAGTTCAAGAAACCAGCAAAACCGCCGCCGTCCGTGTCGCCGAACACTAACCTTCGTAACCATCGAAAAAAAATTCAACAGATGGTGAACTCTCCCATCAAACATCTGGGACTGACGGATGAGGACCTTCCATGGAGCCCTGCCTTCAACATTCAAGACGAGAGTTTTACACCAAGTGACAGTCTAAACACGAGCTTCGATGTTTTTACAGATCCTACTACAGACAACTTATCAAATGCGGCATATGGTTCTCCCGAGAAACGCTCGGCGAAGCGTACCCGAGTTAATCCTGGCGGCTCCAGCAGTAGTATACTGGCTGATATTACAGCAGTGAGTGTCAACACTCGCACTGGTGTGCAGTCGATGCCGTCGATACCATCGAACAAAAAGGGCCTTCTCTTCCCTGACTCCCCGTCCAAAGCCCCAGAACCAGGGCGCTACATCGACGCCACTCATGATGACTTCTTCTCATTCCATCTTTTCGATGAGAGTCCAGGAGAAGTTGATGGCGTCGATCTCCTGCAGGGATTCCAGAAGATTGGGGATGCAAGCAAGGAAGAGACTTCGCGTCTAAAACCATATGCACCGAGGCCACAGTTTAATCATCGCAGCAACACGTCCTTGTTTTGATATCCCAAAAAAATCGTTTTAAAATGGAGAGTCGCCGAGTAAAAAAAGTGCATCAGGCTCCAACCATGCTAAATTGTGTTGTTCAACAGTATTGCAACTATGCGCGCCAGCTAACCACTTTGGCCGAGATACTGTCATCCTACGAATGATGAGATATTAAGCGGACTAGGAACCAATGCCCCCTCCTTTCCCGTTCTGGCTCTGTTTAAATTATCTACCTATGATTGAATCGGTGTTTCTGGCGTTCTTCGTATCGAGGGAATAGTCATTGCACCTGAGATGACCTTGTTATGACCTTTACGATGACATCTGATCAGATGTACATGAGCAACAATTTTGTTTCACGAACTTTGAGAGTATTATTCTGATTTTTGTATGTAACCAACACGAGTCAGTCTGTGGTTCCCAGTTGACAGTCATAAATAATTTTCCTACTTTGTTCAAATTGTTGAATGTCTTGAATTTGGTTTTGGGTATCATAATGGTCGTAGCAGAAAGCCAACCAAACAAGGAAACCATGCAAAGATACAGCATCGGCGACTTTCTTCAGGTCCAGGCATACTAGACAGGAAATGAGGAAAGAGTACATTTCAAAAGACAGGCAACATATTATACCCGCCCAAACGCCGTATATGAGGCCCGTCTGGTCAGATTGTTACCGCTTTAAATAAGTGGTTAGGAGCCCCACGCGCGAAGGTTGTTGTCTGGCATTTGCACCGCTGCCATAAGTCTAGTCGCTGCTTGCACAGCCTCGACAGCCACAGCTTACACATTGAATCGTTTGATCTTCCTTCAGTTGCGCTTTCGGTACCCGACAAATGCAGGTTGCATTGAAATTCGTTTCTTTTGTCTGTATGCAGCGAAGGCAACAGAGCTTCATCCATACCAAATCAGCAATGCGAACATGTTATTTCAACGCAGGCAGCATTGAATGTTATAGGAAATATTTGGGAAAGACCTTTTCGTAGCCTTGCTTTTTCCACTTGGCAACCAAGTTCGCATCGGCATAGTTGTTCTTGAGGAGCCACTCATAGAGTTGTTTTGATATGGCTTCCTTCTCGTAGTACAGGTCGTATATATACCGAGACCCTAGGTTCATATTACTTAGCCACTGGAGATATATGTCGAAGTCGATTGATGTAGAGAAGGCCAACTAATGCGAGGGCTTTAAGTGGGGATAGCAAAACAAGGAGAGTACGCACTTTGATGACTTATCTGAAATATAGGCCACAGCATCTCATGCTTCTTCTTCCCATCGTGTGATGCATTCTCTGCGTCTTTCATCTTGTTGCTGAATTCGAGTAAGGTATCTTCGATATCATCGAAACCCGCCGGAGGTGGCTTGCGGGTACGTGATGTTCGAATAGGAGGCATACTGGGAAAGCACGGCGCAAATGCAGATTGAGGCGGAGGTTTAAGCAAGTGATATATTACGTACGTTAAGATAGATAGATAATATTCGACTGCTGCGAGGTTACAGAGACAAGCCAACAGATGATTGAAACCTCGAACGGTCATAAGAACCGGTAGTCCTTTTTGCCATCTCACACCGCCAAGTGACAGGTCCGTAGAATTGCCTGTGCGGGTTAACTTTGGTTAGCAGGAAGAAAAGAGCCCAACCACCCGGTAGACACCAGCTTCCCGGCTACGACACATCTTCTTCACAACTACTCTTCCCCTCCTATCCTGTCATTTCTCTGGCCAAGAAAAAAAGTTCACCATGGATACTCAAACGCAACTTGACATCGCCAAGCTCAATGATGCCGACAGAAAAGAATTGACCCAATACCTCGCAAACGAGGCACAGAAGTCCAACATCCAGCAAAGTAAGTTGAATAGGGAGTAGTCATGGTGGACTGAGCGCGCGGGCTTTTTTCAAGAATGTCAACTGATTGTCATTACTTCTGCAAGCTGTTCATGGCCTGGCCGATATTTGTTGGAAAAAGTGCATCACCGGAAAGATCTCGTCGGGCCGCCTAGATCAGCCTGAGGAAGCCTGTGCGCAAAACTGCGTGGAACGATGGATGGATACGAACTTTGCTGTTTTGAAGCATCTCGAAACCTTGCGGGGACAATGAAAGCTTCGTGTTCGGGGTACTAATATGTATACAATTGCCTTTCGAGCTCGCTTTCTCTAGACACTCTTGGTCTGTTGTGTTGGTTTCCCCAATCCTCCACTCACGTGGATCGAGACCTTTCCTGGACAGGAATCCAAAATCGCTTTATCTAGGCCATAACAAGGAATCGAAACTCTCAAGTAGGATCTACATACCCGCATATCGTATTGAACCATTACCAGGAATAAGTCCTGGACCCGAGAAGCGCCATGAGTGACGTTCACATCCACCGCACTTCTACGTCTAGAGGTTTCCGTATTAAGACTCGGGAGAGTATGACTGGTTACCATCCTGTGTTATCAATACTTCATTACTGTATCATGGGTTCGGGTAATGCTTTTCATTTTTTGATTTGATCATTGCATCCTCGTCGAAGCACTGGCAGTTAACTGTATATTTGATATTGATGAACCACCGCACAAAACTAAAAGAGAAACCCGTACAGTCCCAAACAAACCCATCTAGACGATAGCAAGCTTGGTCGCAGCAATGTCCAGAGCGTCGACGTCGGGGGTAAGACGGGCGTAAGCCTTCTTGGAGCCGTCGGGTCTGCGGAAGTTAGATTTATCACCGGCCACCTCTTGAAGTGCAGATCAAGTCACATACCTGACAAGAGTGTTGACCTTAACGGTATCGACGTCGTACAGCTGCTTAAGAGCAAGCTTGATCTGACGCTTGTTGGCCTTGACGTCCACGATGAACACAAGGGTGTTGTTCTCCTCAATCTTCTTCATGGCGCTCTCCGTGTTAAGAGGGAAGAGAACGACCTTGTGGGCATCGAGGCGAGGCGCGTGGGGGATCGACTTGCGAGGGTACTTGGGCGACCGGGAAAGCTGAAGGGTCTTGGGGCGGTGGAAGGTGGTCGAGGTGCGGACCTTGCGAGCCTTGTGCGCCTGGAAATCGAAAACGTTCAGCATTAACCAAATCAGAGGTGGCTCGGGTGTTGAAAGAACATACACCTGCACCCTTCAGAACTGCCTTGGCAGCAGCACCAGCCTTGCTGCTGGGCTTGGTCTTGCCTGTAAAATTCCACATGTCAGTCTTTTGGTTCACTAAGGAAAATTGCTCATCTCGACGGCCGGCCCGGGAGACATTCAAAACAGGTTGCGCAAGTGCCAAATCAACGCTGAGTTCAATTTCGCCATGTTGCTCCTGCTTTGCTGTGCTAGGATGAAAATCACGTCGATTCCATAGAATTCCACCAAAATGTACCACTCGATGCGCGCAAACTCGGGATTCGGGATAGGAAGAACTGCAGGCTCAAACATCATGGGGAATTGGCACGAAATTAGCCTACCTTGCTTGTTTTCCACCTTAGGGGCCATGGCTGTCGTCCGGCGCTGTCGTGGTGATTGTCGCAGTGTCGAGAGTCGAATTATTTGGAAGGTATTCGCTTAGCGAAAACCCTACGGATACTGTGTGGGTCACCTGACCTTCCCGCTCTCCAGGCTGCTCAAATCTCTTGGCGTCCTCTGAAAGAGGCTAGACTTAGCCAACCAGGTTATATGTCTCTAGTATCACGTGTGATTCAAGTGGCCCAGTTTACTGGTCTGGCCGACTCGTTCCGGCTCGGTTTAATTCTACTAGGTACGTATCATGCTTCGACTCAAGCCCCGGCGTTAAGTGGTCAAGTTCTCCTACGTAGGCATCGCGTTCGCTTGTATCTTGCTGTGGGATTCGAAGTGAAAAAAAAAAAAAAACATAAAAAAAAAGAAGCACCCAGCCGACCTGCCGACATGATAAACTCAAAAAGACAAAGGCTCAAAAGGCCGACTCTTCTTTCTCGAACTCGCCCACCAACAATCAAGCCAGGCCACGCAAGCCTCTCATCAAAAGCGACTCGAAACCTCATTCGCTCACATCACAGACTACTCAAAGCACGAACGCAGGCTTCGCAGACCGGCGATGCAGCCTCAGTGGCTAAAATCGATGCCCAGATCAAAGAAAACGGTGGTTTGGAAAGCTACCAACTTGCGAGCAAGCTGGGCCAGTCATCCACTCGCGGTGGTGATTCCAGCAAACTTTTGGTTGACTGGCTAGCCCCCCGATTACAGTCACAGAAAGGCAAACTTTACAAATATCGTGTGCTCGAAGTTGGAGCGCTCAGCACGAAAAACGCCTGTTCCTTGAATCAATCGCTCGAAGTCACCAGGATCGATCTCAATTCACAGGAGGCAGGCATTTTGAAGCAAGATTTCATGGAAAGGCCTCTTCCAGAACACGTGGGCGAGCAATTTCATGTTATCAGTCTCTCTCTAGTGCTCAATTATGTACCGGATGCCCTCGTCAGAGGTGAAATGTTGAAGCGCTGCACATCTTTCCTGGCCAAATCGCCACCATCCGGTCTTTCGCAAGATGCATGCTCTTGCTTGTTTCTCGTTTTGCCAGCCGCCTGCGTCTATAATTCTCGCTACCTCACGGAAGCCCGGCTGTACGATATAATGTCAAGCATGGGGTTTATCCTGTCAAACAGCAAGAAAACTCATAAACTCATCTACCAACTCTGGGAATATACTGGTGATTCCAATCCCAGGACTTTCGCCAAGGAAATGCTGAATCCTGGCAAGGTCAGGAACAATTTCGCTATCATAATCAAATGACACATACGTGGTGTAAGGCATTAACGGAGAAGAATGAGGCATTCAGTATTCGGATCCTCACAGTGCAGAAATGGTTTCCTGCGGTATAAAGGACCAGGCGGTTCCAATGAGTGCTAGTATCGAAGAAATAACTAGCAAAGACCAGTTCAGTAGTCGCTCTCGTGGGCTAATCTCTTTGCCGAATATCTTCAAGTGAAATGCCAGCGGCAGTATAATGCATATTGTGAAGCACAGAGCCGATCCCATTAGCGCCATAATTCTGTCGAATGACGGAAAGACAACTGCCATGCAAACAATAAGGACGATCACCGCTATGCGTATCGCGGCTTTCGAAGCTTCGCGCAACACAGATTTCATCGCTCCATGCTGGATTGATTGTCCTTCAGGACGCGGAACAAGTCCACATAGAACCTCGATGGTAGCCACGAGAGGCCGGCAGCTGCAGCGCGTCAATCGAAAGAACCCCTTCTGAGAGGCGCGAGAGGAGTAAGGTAGATATGCTCAACACTTACTTCAAGGGTACCTTAGTAATTGGAATCGTCGCGATAAATACTATCATGCAGATAGATAAGGCACGTGGGAATTCATTTGTCAACAAAATGTTGGCAGTAATCTCATCCCGGACTGTGTCACCAAACATAAGCCAGCCTACAATGGCCATTGCACAATCGAGGGAATACTGCAAGGAAACATCGTTGTTAGTTCCAGAAGAGCTTTCACTATTCTCCCCTGCTTTTCAATCATCGTTAGCTTACCGTAAAGGAGTACGTCACCACGAGACTCTTGCCGTACTTCTGCGGATGTCTCATATCCCGGTAGATGTTCGGAAACACACCATGGCCGCCCCACGGTGCTATGAACCGTTAGTTGCTCCCATGAATTTTCTGAATCCTCAACATCAGACTTACACATTATAAGGCCAAAGCTGAGAGGAAGGGTTGCCCAGTTATCCGGCAGTAGTGAAGTCCGGGCTGGTTGGAGCAGGGAACCTGGCGCTGTTGCTTTCAGCAGCCCATCGATGCATATGATCAAGACAACTGCTCGTGAGATCAGTATGATATGTCATAAGCCTATCAAGGTAGTAGACGTACTAGATGTGCAAGACAGAATGCCAAGAATACTTGTCACACTGAGAAGCCGCAATGGTAAGAAGTTTAGAGGGATGAGCATGAGCCCACATATAAACTTCCAATGGAGAATGCTGAGGCCTGGTACCAGAGCTTGCAGGCTATCTGCAAAGAGTACAACAAGGGCAACGCAAGCACCTATGAGCTCCAAGCAGAACAATAGACTCGTGACTAAGCGCGCATGATACCCAAAACTGATAAATGCTAGATCAGCGTAAGTGACAAGACTTCGGTCAACATCCAGGCACTTAGCCAGGATTTTCGCTGTATATGCTGTGGTCATTGCTGCGAAAAGTAAGAACGTCAGGCCTATAAGCCAACCCGCTTGTTTCATTGCCAACGGTAGGCTTAAAAGACCGATGCCGATTAATACGTTTACGGAATTGAAGATAGTTTGCGGAACAGTAGATTGCCCAACAACCACACATTCGCGTGTACCATCGTTGTGTTGGACTTGCTTGACAAGTAGTGACGCCCCTTCAGGTTCCACTGCGGTATCACCGCGACTTTGTTGTTCCCTGTGAAGTTGGGCTGCATTCCTTCGCGCTGTTTGACTGATTCGCGAAGAAATTGTACCGTAGGATGTCCCAAGCAAAGGCTCACATCTGTCTGGACTCGTGCTCGGAAACCCCGAATAGACCTGTGTAGCAGTACTGCGATTTTCCGCACCCCCATCCGAGCTCAATAAAGGCTGTGTAGATATCACCTCAAGGTCGCGCTGATCGTACGACCTGGGAAGACTTGATCTTATAGTATCCCATTCTTCGTCTGCGTCAGCTGTCACGAAGGAGGGGCGACGAGGTAGAACTTCTGGGAAGCATGCGGCTCGCTGCCACGACCGTGCGAAGTTGTCAATGCTATTGACTCCGCCGGCTTGCCGAAAACGCGCGGAGAAGGAGGCCGATCTGGGTTGCTCATTTTAGAGGCTGTTGTTGGCCACCATAGGAAGTGGGACTCATAGGTTTTTTACCTTGACCTGGGTATAAAATCCTCATCTTCCGGAGAGCTGCTGAAGCTATCGGTCTGGAACGGTGACGTTGAGATTGGCCTGCCATGAGCAGTAGGCCAATGGTGGCTCGAATCTCCGACCTCATCGTCATCCAACAAAGCGGGTTGTGACATTTTATCCTTGTATGCGAATCAACTTGGTTTCTCGTGCTAGTCAGCAAGGTGATATCAGTTCGCTGTAACAGCAATTGCCGAATTGAAGCGTGAAGGAGGCGTAATAGAATGTTGATGGCCGTCCAATCGGGAAGAAGGGCGGCGAACAACGATATCGAAGTGACAAGCCAAAGAGAAAGAGAGAGAGAAGGAAAAGTAGAACGGAAGCAGTGCCCACAGACGTCTTGTTTTGGGTGGAGTGACTTAGTCGGGGCCGACTAATTATCAAGACAAGAACAAGGAAGGTGAGAGACCATTCTAGAGTCTGTGTACACAAGCCAGGGTCGTGACCCTTTTATATGCACAATGGTTGAAACTCATATCGAAAGCGACGCAGTCTACGACTGATAAGCATCATGCTAGAACCTGTCGCTCAAGCAAGGAAATGGGAAGTCAAATGAATGAGAAATACTCATTGATTAGAGAGCTCCTACCGGGGCTTGGGTGACGGAAGTGGAGAGTGGATTGGATGGACACCGACTACCATGATGATAACAGCAATGCTAGTCCGTTTAGTCCAGAGTGCCTTATCAATAATATTGATCGTTTGAAGCTGGTGGCTACTAATACGTAAGCCCACAGAGTCATGAGTTGACTAGTTAGTGTGACCGAAAGAGAGCGCGACTTGCACACCGCAGGTAATGGATATTCTTGTCCTTGCTCCGTATCCGTACTTTTCTAAGATTCCAATTGAGTAATGAGGTACAGTACCTGGTCCCTCGGGGCCTCTCCCATGGAATCGACTTGTCCCGGTTCAATTTATCATTCAGACACCCCAACTTCTTTGGCCCAGTGGAGGGACTACTGCTGCTGCCACTTAAACTACCACTACTACTACTGCATGGTCTTTGTTTTGTTTTGTTTTGTTTTTTTTTTGTGTGTGTTTTTGAACGCTTTCGCCCCAATCCATGCAAATCCAGTACATGGTGGACAGAACATGAACATACAGAGTAGATACCTAGGCCTTGCACCTATTTCTACTATGCTGGCTGTGCCCCACTAAGTTTGTGCACTGTACTGTACTGTACTGTACTGTAAGTTCTACGTCACCCCTCTCTAGACATTCCTCAAATTTCTGCTAATTCACAAGCTCCAGAGGTTAGCATGAGGTATCAACACTCTCTCAGTTAGGTTCAAATTGCAAGAAATTGTCCTTGTCGCAATATGAAGGGCGAAGTACAATGCAGTGCCTACCATGTCGAGCCTGACTATAAGTTTGAAGCTACTGTACTGTTGTGTTCAATACGTACAGTACATATACTGTACATACATGCATGCATGTAACTATATACCTACTCATAACTACACTACTCCTCACGTGTGGGAAATAGACGCTTATGTCATCGCCAACAGGCGACTTGCCGACCCATTTCAATCCATTCCCGCCCCCTCCACGGTGCCTGATGAAATTTGCTTAACACCCCGCTGGACTCGGAAGGCACATAGACCAGCTCTAGAGGTACGTATGCGCTTTTCCACCCCTCCCATCCTTTCGCCGGCCGCTGAAACCTCACACCCCCGGGATTTGGGTTCTCGCAACCTCCTTTTTCTACACTTTATTGATTCTGTCCCTGTCTTATTGCCGCGATCATCTTCGCTGATAGTACAATCAGCATTTGCCAGCCTTGCCTCAACCTTTTCCTGGTCGTGTACTACTGTCGCCTCGCCAACATGAGTGCGGCTCAGCCGAACGAAGCGGAGAAGAATATTGAGATATGGAAGGTCAAGAAGCTCATCAAGCGCCTGGAGATGGCCCGAGGGAATGGAACCTCGATGATCTCTCTGATTATTCGTATGTCCTCCATTTTGGATACTTGACCGTGGTTCCCACACTAACTCCAAGCTGCTCGCAGCCCCGAAGGATCAGATATCTAGAGCCGCGAAGATGTTGGCCGAAGAATTTGTGAGAGGAAAACTTCATAGGTCACTAGATATGGTGTAGTGCTAATGCGGTACGTTTTGCAGGGCACTGCTTCAAACATCAAATCCCGCGTCAATCGACTTTCTGTCCTTTCCGCCATTACGTCCACTCAGCAGCGTCTTAAGCTGTACAACAAAGTTCCCCCCAATGGCTTGGTCGTCTACTGCGGTGAAATCATCACATCTGAGGGCAAAGAGCGCAAAATCAACATTGACTTTGAGCCTTTCAAACCAATCAATACTTCGCTTTATCTCTGTGACAACAAGTTTCATACGGAAGCGCTCAGTGAGCTGTTGGAATCGGATCAGAAGTTCGGTTTCATTGTCATGGATGGAAATGGCGCGCTTTTTGGCACACTCAGCGGCAATACTCGAGAAATCCTCCAGAAGCTGAGCGTCGATCTGCCAAAGAAGCACGGCCGTGGTGGTCAGTCAGCCTTGCGTTTCGCTCGTCTTCGTGAGGAGAAGCGTCATAACTATGTGCGCAAGATCGCCGAGTTGGCCGTGCAGAACTATATCACCAACGACAAGGTCAATGTCGCTGGCTTGATCTTGGCTGGTTCGGCTGACTTCAAGAACGATCTGAATCAATCTGATATGTTCGACCAGCGATTACAAGCCAAGGTCATCAAGGTTGTGGACGTTTCTTACGGTGGTGAGAACGGCTTCAACCAGGCTATTGAACTTGCCGCTGAGACTTTGAGCAACGTCAAATTTGTCCAGGAAAAGAAGCTTATTGGAAAGTACTTCGAGGAGATCAGTCAAGACACCGGGAAGGTCTGCTATGGTATCGATGACACTCTTAAAGCCTTGGAACTTGGCGCAGCGGAAACCCTTATTGTGTATGAGAATCTCGATATTACTCGATGGGTCCTCAAAAGCTCTAGCGGCTCGGACGTTGTTATCCATACCTCCAAGGCCCAGGAAGCCAATCGTGAGATGTTCATTGATAAGGAGACCGGAACTGAGATGGAAGTCAGTGAGCAAACTTCATTCCTTGAATGGCTCGCGGAAAACTACAAGGACTTCGGCGCAGCGCTCGAGTTCGTCTCCGATAAATCAACCGAAGGAAATCAATTCGTGAAGGGTTTCGGTGGAATCGGCGCGATGCTTCGATACAAGGTCAACTTCGAACAACTTGCTGATTTCGAAGATGAGGATGAATTTTACGACGGTTTGTGTACTACACCTGTTACTCGGTTCACGTTACTAATGCCTTCCCACTACAGATTGACGGTTTAGCAGCCTCGCAGAGAGCGAGGATGCACGCCCAGAAGCTCTCAAACCTGATCTTCTGACGGCTCGCCCCGTGATTCGTGAAGGCGGCTCCCACGGCAACCCCATGGCTTTAGTTACCATGACATTGCCTGTGCAAGTATCTTGAAGCTGCCCATAGGTATGTTTCGTCATCTTTTAAACATAAATAGTCTTTAATAATTCGATCTCCAGCAGGGCCATCCAAGCTCCGCATTATGATAACCCATGTTATTCGGGCAGTGTTCGATGCCGCCAGACCTGACCACTGGAAAACAATGATAGGCTGTCCTATCGCCTCTGGCGATGCTCACCGATGACTGCCGAGCTTATAACTGATGGGCTTGTGCGTTTAGACTGTTGCTTTCCATGTATCGGAGTTGCTCTCATTTATACTTATATTCTACTTTCTTTCACTCTACTATCTCGTGAACCCTGCATTCTCCACAAACCTAGGAATCAAGCTATTGTCCTACCTGCCAGGCACGTCCTGCAAACACGTGTAGATGTGATTCGGCTGGACAAATATCATTGCAAAATAAGGTCTCCATGAGTATAAGCATACTGCAAAGGTGTTACTAAGCTGGGCCGACTTGGAAAGACAAACCTCAATATCTTACCTATACTGCTTCATCTTCGAAGCTTGGTACAAGCTGGTCTGTCCAGGTGCCCAGGTATCGGCAGTATTCGGTGACATGTTTCAGTCCATGTAGAATTCCTGAGACTGCGTCTGCGTTCAGACTGGTAGGGGTCAAGTGACCTTCAACCAGGAACATATACTTCCATGCCTTGACCTGGCTAGGTCGTGAATTGATGCTTGTCAAGTTCATGCCGTGGGTCTTGAATATCAGGAGAGCATCTGCCAAAGCGCCTGCGCGGTCCTGGGGTACCATAAATGAAATCAATGTCTTCTTCTGCGCCGTTCCACCAGACGTCACAGAGGCTTTGATATGATTGAAATCCACAGCAGCCGGGCGATCGGCCTGTGCATTCACAAGGACCAGAAAGCGCGTGGTGTTGTTCGCATTATCCTCGATATTTTCTGCAAGAATATCGAGACCATGATGTTCTGCGGCAAAGCGACTCGCTATCGCAGCAGTCCGCTCACTTCTCTCTTTCGAGACAATTTCCGCCCCTTTAGAAGTGGACGACACATCCTGTCGTTCGACACCTTTAAGATTCTTCTCAAGAAAGACATCGCACTGACCCCAAGCCTGCGGATGGGTGTACAGTCTGCTGATGGACTTGTAGTCCTGCTGGTCTGGAAGAAAGTCACCTTTGCGAGTCAACAGACAGTGATGAATGGTCAAATAATGCTCCCCGCACACTTTCACATTGCCATAAAGACCATTGGGATCTGCTAGAAGGTCTAGCGTCTGAACGACAGATCCATTAGTAGAGTTTTCGCAGGGGATGATGGCAAAGTCTGCTTTCTCTTCCTGCACCGCGGCAAAAGCATCGGCGAACGACACGCAGGGTAGCAGATCGGCCGAGGATCCAAAGGTCTCAACAGCAGCCTAAAGACTCCGATACTTAGAATAGCACTTGGATGGGGAGTGGGGTGATAGCTGGTGCTTCTGACCTGATGGGAGAAGGAGGCTATAGGGCCCAGGAACGTGACTCTGATAGGCTGCTCCATTGCTCCGATTGCTGTGCTTTGAGTTGTACTTATGATTCGGGACCTTCTGCCAAGCAGCGCTGGACTTCTGCAGCGGCGGCTGACATAACATGTCCAAGTTAGTAAACTCCGAAACTGACTGAGCTCGACTTGACTATCCATTAGATCGACGAGCCCTCCGCCCTCTCAAAAACATTTTTCTCCCGTTTCCTCTCCAATCTACCCACGCATGCAGGGCCTGGTGTCGCCCTCGATGAGGAGGCACCTTCTCCGCTTCGGAAAGCAAGGACCGCCCCCAGCAACTTGTCGACAGCACTCCTTATTGAGCGAGCGTCTGCATCGGAAAATGATTGCGCATCCATTGCCCCTCACGTTTGATTATATTTACCCTCAGCAATCTTTCCTCCTGAATCGGACGTTGGTCGATCTCCTTCCCCCGTCAGGCGCACCATCGGAGGCTTTCCCTTCTACTAGAAGCCCACCCCGCCTGCCTCCCGGCCATCATCTTGTCTATTTCCCTCCCCAGGTCTCTTTGTCCCAGCTATTGCCGGATGGCACGGACTTCCTGCATTCTCCAGGATATCCTTTTACTAGGCGATTATGGGCTGGCGGTAGTGTCCGGTTCGCGGCCACGGGAAGTTTACTCCTCGATGGCTGTCGGGCTGTTTGCATCGAAACAATTCGGGATGTACTTGTGAGAGGTCAAACCGGTGAGGAGAAAGTGATCGTCAGGATAGAAAGGCGAATTGGCACAGTTCGCGAGGAAGAAAATCCTAGCCAGATTCGCGATCGAATCTGGAAGGTGGAGGAGGCTGACCTAGGCCATTCTTCCATAATTGAGCATAGGCATTTGATCTTCATGCGTGATAAGACGCCAGAGCAGCTTACCGATGATAGAGCCAATTTCAAAAAAGCCCCTAGAACCATTAAATGTGCGCGAGGAACCGAAAATGTGCCAATGCCTTGCCCTTGCTGACAGTGTTTCTCGTGGCCCGAAGCCCCTACAGGTTCTCACTTTCGCCATTCCCTGACACCAACTCGAGCACTGCTTTTTCGTTTCTCGGCGCTCACTTTCAACGCCCACTCGATACATCTCGATCAGGCGTACACCCGGGATACAGAGGGCTACAAGGATTTGCTTGTTCATGGGCCATTGACATTAATGTTACTTCTCTCAGTCGCACAGGTTCATATGTGTGACCTGGGTTTCGCGATCAGGGAAATAAATTACAAGAATCTTGCTCCTCTTTTTGTTGGAGAGGAACTAACTATTTGTGGCAAACCCAAGGCAGGGAGGCATGACGTCTGGGACGTGTGGATTGAGGACAGAGACGGAGGACTTGCTGTACGGGGCACTGTTCAAGGCGGTCCTTTGTAGCTGGTGCGGTACCATCTTCACCTGCTCTGGCTGTCTCACCTTATCATTGCTTGTCCAGTCATTCATGAAGTAACTAATGTATCTTGAGGCAGAAGCTGGATAGGCTGGCTTTAAATCTGAACATAGCAGGCTTACTGAGGCAATTCCTGGTTGCTCTCGGTCGACCGTCAGATGTCGAAGATCAGGTCTGGTTTTATTTGGCTAGTATCCAATCTTTTTTTGGCTTCAGGTATCACCACCAACTTCGAAGTGGCCCTCCCTCAACTAGATATTCAGAGAACCTGTTTCTGTCGGGACTTTCATAATCGGATTCATGGATTGAAGCCGGTGATCGTGCCCGGGGTGAAGTGTAGCGGAACATTTGGGATCTATGAGTATATACCTTCATCAGGGCTCCTCTTCAATGTCTCGAGGGAAATGACGGTTAAATGTGTTCTTTATACATATCAAAGACAATTTCTGGGCCTTAGCATGCATTGAGACCAGGACAACGCTGCCAACGCGGGGATTACATCACTATAAAGCGCCCCTTGTAACTATTCGAAGCGTAATCAGTGGCAACCTCGGATATATATCCTAATAATTTTATGCTGGGCCTTGAGGAATCTCTTCATTGGTACTGGACCTGGCAATGAAAATACGACATGCTCTGGTCGAACTTCCAGGCAGCCTTAATTGTGCACTTGGTGTTATCTCTGACCTGACGTCGGGCTACCTGCTAGTTTAACTATTATACATGTTAAAACACAGTAACTTACTACGTAGCGTCATATAGTTACAAGTAACACAATACTCCAACATGTTACATAAGAGTAATAGTATTGACACTGGCTGCTTTTCCTAAACCACCGGCTTTAAACACTTTTCAATAAGGCATATGGGTTTGTCTCTGTACAAAAATACATCCATAACTGTGAATATTACCTAATCTTGTACGGACATTGTTATCCCTAAGAACAAGATAAAAGAAGACATCCTAAGAAGAGATCCTAATAACAACATTTTTTGTCCAGTGGCCACTAAAGGGGGAAAAAAACCTAAAATGATCCCGTGCGCAACATGTTACCTGATGTAGCTATTAGTGGTTTCTAATCAAAGCAAATGGAGCAGGCTGTTGGTGTTAATAACAATATATTGTAACTTATATCTTTTCTCTTTCTTCTCTTTTCTCTTCCATGTGTAGGCAATGGGATTTGTACCGTACAGCCTACAATCTTGCCGCCTGCTTTTTGAGGCTGTTCTGCCGCCCTCCGCTACAGGCTGCTGATCTCGTTTACCGGAACGGAAAATTACTCACCGAGCCGAAGCTAACAAGTTCCACACAATACTTTCCTCTTCATTTGAGCTACCTATAAGAACCCCCTTCTGAACCTACTTGCGGCCTTCTTTCTTCCCTACCTAAGCGTTGGTGCAGTATCAAACAAAAGACATTCTCATGTGAATGTCGAAACTAGCGCCTCACAAAACACACAGAAATATCTGCGGCTGTCTAATCACTGATTAACTGACTACATTATGGATCAATTTTGGTCTGCACCCCCTGTCATTAGGTATGTCCCAATTGAAACTGCTTTATACTTTCCTGGATAGGGACTAACAGTGCAATCAGGACTCTCTCTGCACTTACCTTTGCACAGTCTGCTTTGATATATGGTGGATTATTGAATGGCTATTATTGCCTGTTCGAGTCCCGCCTTGTATTCAAATTTCCCCCAGAGATTTGGAGACTCTTCACCCCATTTATGGTCACGCGACCACGCCTTTCCCTATTCCTGGATGTTTACTTCAGTACGGTGCCATCTTGGATTGGATTCAAAGGCGTACTAACGTGCCGGTAGTGTACACTTACGGCAGCTCCTTGGAAACTGGATCGCCTAGGTTGTCCGGTCCAGGTGACTTCTTCGTGTATACGATCTTTGTAGCCTTGGTCATAATGGTAAGTCAAGGGCGTCAGTCACTTTTGTTAAGATGGCTTGTCCACTTGTTGCCCTC